TTCTGTGCAGTGTGTTATAGTGATGCTCATAAGACTCCAGGGTGTTAAAAAGTTGAAAGCAGCCTTCATTTTGGCATCTGAACTCTGCCACTCTGTAATGAATGGGGACAGAAATAGTTACTTAGATTGACAAGAAAACAAGTCCAATGAATTCTGTCAAAAATACATGTTCAGTTGTAACTGACCCAGAAAAATAAATAAATTAATTCTTCATGTCAAGATGGAAAAGTTTTTCACTCTTGGAAATGCTCTATCACATATCAATTAATCTGCCCAAGCCATGTAAAAAGGTAAGCTTAATGCTATTTTTTTTTTTTATTATTTTTTTTTTTTAAAGGAGAGGCATTTTTTTTATTCTTCTCTGTCAGTTATACACTTACTAAAAGAAGGAGAAGAGACATATACACAAGACAAGTTGAAGCCAGAACGAAAACAATGCATTCCACAATGGGATCTAGACAAAACTACAATTGGAGATAATACTGTTAATTACTCAAATTGCATACTTGGTTCCTTCTTCCACTTCTCTGATGCTTCTCAATATGCCCTTGAGATACAACTGCCGATGAACATCGCCATCCTGTACCAAATGAGAAAGATAATTGCAAAAGAAATCTAGGTGTTTCCATAATTCTGTTCAATTATCGCTCTACTTATTATTTCTATACTGATGTATATAATTCTTAGACGAGGTTCAACACATACGAGGGATATAATGTCATGCCTATGTTAAAAATGATTACTCACTAGAAAGATTTATGCAAAGGCCAATAGAATAAATGGTTATTCACTAATGAGAATTGGCAGGAATTCAAATTGAATTCCAAAATTTAGGCCACCATTTTATCAACTGGAATAGGTCTCCAAGTCAATTCTGTTTTCAGTCTGTCTGTTTTGCAGTGCCGTTTCAGCTGCATTATTCACTCCAGTAAACACTTCAACAGAATATTGTATTACGTAATATTAAGCAGAATATTATTTAAAATATTTCATTACAAGCAATTCCTAAAACAAGCATTGTATACATGAGATGGACACAAACGACTGTCCATTTCTCTAATTATCAGTTGTTTCTAGAACAACTAGTAATTTGGGACTTCCTTTTGCCTAGCCACTTAAGGGCACACAATGGGAAATTCCCATATTATTCCCTTTTATTTCTGAAGCAGTGTCTTTAAGGGGCTAAGGGCATCACACAGACAAACATATAGGTGTTTGTGAACCAATTGGACATATTCCATAACCCTCCAGTCAACAAATGGTGATGAAATATACCTTATGAATTGATATATACAGGTCACAAGTAGCAGTAACCATGGGTTTTTAATAGACTTTTACTACATATTAACAGAGTTTTTCAATAAAGTGAGAATACAAGGTGAATTCAAAGTGAATTTAAAATTTAATGCCAGAGTAACTGAACTGAAAGTATTTCCAAAACAAGCAACTGATCCAAACGGTATGAAAAAAAGGAAAACAGGCTCCAAAAATGCTTAAAGAAAAAAATTAAAATCAAAATAATGAAGACACTTTCCTTGGCCCCATGCTAAGAGATGTGGCGTGAAGGGGGCCAAACTAATACCCTGCTTGGATTCTGGGATCCCTCTTTGATTTGAGCTCCAAGCAGCAACATGTGTCCCCAGTGAGCCATGCATGAATTAGCTCACATTACTCGTTACCCAGTTGATGTGCAGTTTATTTTCCCAAACCTGCATGTTAGTGTTTTTGGTAAGCTGCGTGTTAGCGTTTTTGGTAAGCTGCGTGTTAGCGTTTTTGGTAAGCTGCCTGTTAGCGTTTTTGGTAAGCTGCATGTTAGCGTTTTTGGTAAGCTGCCTGTTAGCGTTTTTGGTAAGCTGCCTGTTAGCGTTTTTGGTAAGCTGCCTGTTAGCGTTTTTGGTAAGCTGCCTGTTAGCGTTTTTGGTAAGCTGCCTGTTAGCGTTTTTGGTAAGCTGCCTGTTAGCGTTTTTGGTAAGCTGCGTGTTAATGTTTTTGGCAAGCTGCATGTTAATGTTTTTGGTAAGCTGCATGTTAATGTTTTTGGCAAGCTGCATGTTAGTGTTTTTGGCAAGCTGCATGTTAGTGTTTTTGGCAAGCTGCATGTTAGTGTTTTTGGTAAGCTGCATGTTAGTGTTTTTGGTAAGCTGATACATTTACCTCGAAGAACTCATGCTCCCTGGGAAATCGGACCCTGAGTAAGGTGACGGTGTCCCCCAGTCTCTGCCTCCTGTCAGCCTGTAACACCGGCAGCTCAGCCAGGTTCAGCACTGCAGCCGGCTCGGACAGCGCAGAGAGCAGCGCGAGAGGCACCATGGTCCATGGGGCAAACTGAGTCCCTTCTACACCCCCCTCCCCCTCTCACTCTCACTCTCACTCTCACTCTCTGCGTTCCAAGCAATTCTACTGATAGAACTTCCGTCTCTTTTGCGTTCCACTCCTGCTTCGGTGCCCGACTTCCGGTGTGAGACTCTGTGCGTTCCACGACTCGCTGTGGAGAACCGCGCTCTGGTCCCGCTACGTTGTTGCCATGGATACCCCACCCGGTGTCTCCTGCAGGCTCCCCCGGTGATGTGTCAGGCTGGGTTGAAGAAGCCGTAGCGGGTCTCAGAGAGGCGGTCTGTGCTAACTGACCCCAGCTCGAAGCACTTCCGCCCGGCCAGTGACAGGGAGGGCAGCCTGGGGCCTGGAGGGACAGGTGAGCTGGCCATTACTAATATAACGAGCCCCAGAATGGAGAATGCATGGACATCAATCAGGGTTCAGGGGAGTGTGTGGACATCAATCAGGGTTCAGGGGAGTGTGTGGACATTACCATCTTGTTATAAATGACCAGCCTGTGATAGGCTGTAGGTGTAGGAAATTCATAATTAAACAACCTATGTAGCTTTATTAAGGTAATAAAGTATCCTGAGAAGGAGATGTACTGTTACATGCAGACAGTAATAATAATATATGCGTAACTCATAATGACGCACAGCAAACCATTGAACATTTGAGGCGTACATAAAGATATCTTTAAAGAAGTTGACTGGGGTGTCACACATACATTTTTGTTTGTTTGTTGTTTTTTTTTACTTATTCTGTATTGTGGTAATGAAGTGTCCCTTTACAACATTAAGGGGTTTGAAAGCAGATACTTGCCCAGGGTCTCTTTTTAATATTAAAGGGAGACTGTACTTAGCTGATATGCTTTGTGTCTGAAAACATTATTATTATTTTCTATATTCCTATTTTTGATAACTGTTTCTTTATTCAGCTATTTATCTGCATGTATATCTGTCAGTTCCCTGGTGTATTTTTGTTTGCTGCTTGTATCAAATTTTAGGCTGTCTGGCTATATTTAGTTCTGATGGGGTTGCTGTATGTCCTGAGGCTCTACTGGTTTATCCACATCTACTAATCCAGTGGCAACATAGACCTGGCCACTAACCTTCACATGAGACCAGTTGTATGGGCAAATAATATACTTGAGATGTAGGACAAATCTTTCTTTACTTATAGTTGGGATCTGTGCTCAGATAATCATTGTGACAACTATACGTTTCGTCAGGAATCTTAATGTGTGGAATACTCTGTATGATGAGTTTACCACTTTCTTATATAGATAGTATTTAAAAACGCACTAAAAATCAGTTTATGGTCTCCTTTGAGTATGCATGGTAAAGCTAGGTGAGTTATCTTACCTGGAGTTTTACTATGATTCAATGTTGCACATAGGTTCATTTAACATGTTATAATTTAAAAGGGACACTATAGGCACCCAGACTACTTCCGGTCATTAAAGTGGTCTGGGTGCAGTGCCCCAGGTCCCTTAAGTCTGCAAAGGTAAATATTTCAGTTTTAATAAACTGCATTAATTAACTGCCAGAGTTAACTCTACCTCTACTAGAGGGGCTTTAGGATCATTGGGCGACTTTTGGTCGCCTGACACTGGGCGTCCTCACGCTACCATGAGGACATTCAGTGTCACCCGAAATCCCGTAGGAAAGCATTACACAATGCTTTCCTATGAGGGTAGTCCTAATGTGAGTACGGCCATCACCTTTCGTATGCATTGCGTACAAACAAAAATAATAAAAACTAAGTTTTGCTGATTACCCATCACAGCATGCAGAGATAGACTGCATTAAAACATTTACTATTACATAACCACTGCAATAAGTTGTTATGGTGGTTGGAGTTTGCCTTTTTAAAAGAACACATCAGACTACAACCAAGCACCTTTTAGATTAACATTGGGTGGGATATCATTTAATCTTTTGCGCTTGTGCACTGCAACTACCTGTAGCATCTCTGCTGCGTGGACATAGTGGAATTAAATGCCTCAAGCAGTTCTAATAAGCATGCACACTTTTTAAAAATGTATCTCAGCATTTGTTTAGTGCCTTGATACTTAATTGAGTAATCCATTAATAAAAATATACCAGTGAATTTGAGAACTTCACAGGACTGGCTGAAAATAAGACGCACTAGAGCCTATTTTCGGGTGATGTCTGATTTCGGGGGGAAACGGTAGTAAGTATTTGCTAGAAAGCATGTCTACATTTGGGGGGAATTCTCCTGAACATAGACAAGTTCCGTAGGGCATGGAATCCCGCGAATCTAGGAAACCTTCCCTTAAAAAGTTTAGCTTACTCGTGAATGGATCCCGCAAACCTTTGCTGGGGGAAACATCCCCAAACATAAATTAACTTACTCGCGTATGGAATCCCACAAATCTATGTTCTGGGAATATTTTCCCAACATAGATTAGCAACTAGGACTTTTTTTCGGGCTAGGGCTTAAATTTCAAGATTCCCCCGAGATGTCTTATTTTCGTGGAAACAGGGTAACGAACATGCAATAAAATGTTACTGAAATGATGGTGTATTTCTCGTTTCTTTTTTTTAATGTGTGTTAGAGGTAAGTTAATATCACTAACTCTAACGTATCTTTTCTACTTTTATTCCTCAACATCTGATTTTTGTTGTAAATCTGAGTATTGTTTTTGCAGTTCATTCACCATGAGTGAATTCCGGATACACCATGATGTAAACGAACTCATCAGTTTACTGCGTCTGCATGGAACTGAGGGAGCGGAACATTACATTGATCTTCTGCAGAAGAATCGCACTCCTTATGTAACAACTAGTGTCTCAGCCCATAGTGCCAAAGTAAGGGCCTGTCTTTTCCTGGGCACCAATCTACCCTATTTTATCATCTTTGATAACAGACCTGAAATGTTAAAATTATAATAAAAGTCAGTATTACATACATAGAACATAAACATGCTAAGTACTATGCTTTAACAGTTGAGCATCAGGTAGATGTTTCCATTTAAGTTCAGAATCCAAGACTATGTGTAAATACAATAATACGTTGTACATGCAGAGTCAAAGCATAACAAATTTTAACACATATTAAACTTTAACATTTATAAAAATTTATATGTATTGCATAAGCTTGGTACAGTTTCACTATACCCCATCTTTTAATAGTTCATATGTGCCTCTTTAAAGGAACACTGCACTGTTGAACTTACTATCCCTATTAATGTATTATATAGATGATACCTTTTAACACATGTATTGATTTAAATATATTATTAAATACAACACACTGCAAATGTTATTTTAAAATTATATGCTTATATATGTGCAGGCTGTATACTTAGTACAATGTGTCGATATAATTAGAAGTAGTTTTTTTTTTTTTTTTTGCAGTGTTCCATTCATAGTGATCAACTGGTCAGCCAATGAATGACCGGCAGGATTGGTTTCTTCAGCTCAGGAGAAGCTGGAAGCATACCACTGGCCATTCCAAAAGACTTGCTGCCCAGGGGATCCTGGGTAATAGGGCAAACCACTGCTAAACAGTTTGCCCAGTTGCTGGAGAAATGGGCCAGAATACTCCTGGCATCATGACCACTACAGCAGGCTGTAGTGGTTATGATTCTTGGAGTAACACTTAAACCACTTGCATGGGGTTCTGTAGGGTCCCCTATGCAAGTTGTTTGGGCAACCTGCAGACCCCAGGTAAGTGGTCCTGGTGGAGCACAAGAGCATTCCTAGCACTCTAACCACTACTGCGGGTTGTAAAATTCTTGTTTAGGTTTAAAGTCTGTCTTTAGTTAGTATTTAACTATGAAATGAAAAAGAAGGCAGCATTGTAATAAGAAGAGAACATTTGTTGCCTTTCTTAATGTGCTTCGAACACTGAGGGACCTGTACAGCAAATCCTGAATTGATTGTCATTCACCCTCCGAAACTCTGCACATACATTTAGTACGAGTTCAAAACAGGCATTGAAGATACCTAAGGTCCTCCTAGAGCTGCCAGATTTTCATGAACACATATGACTTGCTCAAGTTGATATGTACTTAAATTGCTGCCCTGCAATATGTTAAATACATATGCCACAGGAGGCTAATTCTGAGGGATTCGCTGTTTTGAATTGCGTTGTGTTTTTGTTTGTGGTTAGCATTATTCATGTGTATAATGAAAAAATTACATGTGCCCAGACAAATAAAGTATATTTGGCAAACAAGGCCAGACACCAAGTTGCGGGTTGGAGATTGATGATTATTGCACCTCTGAATTATTGTAGGTTAAAATGCATTATTTCATATTTTATATTTAAAGGTTAAAATTGCAGAGTTTTCTAGAACGCCTGAAGATTTTCTCAAGAAATATGAAGAGTTAAAGTCAAAGAATACTCGTAATCTTGATCCTTTGGTCTACTTGCTCTCCAAACTAACAGAAGATAAAGAGGTAATTGTACTGTTCTATCAGTTTATAGTTTATATTATTTATAAAACAGCAAGCCATAACTCTATTCTAGACGTAACCTTTAAATGTCACAGTTCAAATTGTATGATCAACCCATAATTTATAAAAATTATCTGTTTTAAAAAAAATCTAAGCAAATGTCTCGGACTGCCGAATAATTAGGAGGTTCACTTTTCACTTGTTCACTTTTAAAATACTGTCCAAACAGTGAAATTTTCTCATTAAGATTCAGAAAAGTATATAGATGAGCACCAAGTTAGACAAACAGTGCAAACAAGGTATGCATATTCCTTCAGGCACTGGTAATATTCCAGGAAGGGGGGAGTACTAATATTAAGTCCCTTAACGCAGAACATAAGAATATAAAGAAAAAAGAAAAATAGCTAAACGAAAATGACAGTTAAACTAGATAGGTATGAACTGTATAGTACTCAGTCCAGTATTGTGCTCCCAACTGGGTGCCTGTTCCGACATCAGCTGATATCAGCTACTGATCGTGGGATGAATGGCACGGCTTTGGAAATGTTCCAGGAAAAACTCTGTCCTTCCCCAGGGTGTGTGGCTGAGGTGAGGGCCAGTTTTCTGAGGAAAGTTGCAAAGTCTTCTGCGGAGGTAAGTTGGTAGGAGCAGCCATCTTTAGTAGCTAGCAGAACATATTGTTTGAGTGGCATGCCATAGTGACCGGTCTTCAGACAAGGGTGGAACAACACAGATCTTGTAAGAAGAGGAGCTGCGTTTCCTCGAATGAATAAGGTGTTTTATTCTTCACTGCCTCCTGGATCTCAGACTTGTCTCGTTGCATGAAAAAGCCCACCAGCACATCATAAATGTCCCCCGGCCGGAGCCCTGCCGGATTTGGTAAGTTGAAAGTAGCCATCCAGCTGGATGCTTTTTATGTTGATGTGTCAGTGAGGCCATTAGGCAACGTACAAAATGCGGCAATCCGTGTCATCAGCCGTTTCAGCAATACCCCTAATCTTTAGGTTATTGTGCCTCCGTCAGTCTTCCAGATTGTCCAATCTGCCCTGTACAGCTTTATGGGTTGCTTGTAGCTGGTGGATCAGCTCCTTGCTGTTTACTTGGTGGTGGGTCATGGTGGAGACTGCTTGCACCCTTGCTGTAACCACTATAATGTCCTCTCTAATTATATCAAAGTCAGCATTGAAGAAGGCCCTGATGTTATTCATAAGTGCCTTGATGTCTCCATTTGTGACTGGGGCTCTTAAATCCTCAATTTGTGGAGTGGCCACCAACTTCTTTGTATTGGAGATATCGTCAAGGGCGTCCATTACCTCTTCCTCCGAGGAGGTATAGGGAGACTCTAGCAGCGCCGCCATTTTAGGTTGTAGAAGGTTGCTGAGACTGCGGGAGCCATCTCTAGCCAGGGTTTTAAGTTTCTTCGCCTTCTTCCCCATGTTGTGGGGGGACTCGTTTTCTGCCTGGTTCAGGGCGAGTGAGCGCCGTAGGATGCAGTTATGCGGTGTAGGTAATGGGAGCTCAGCCGCCCTGCGTCTGCGCCCTCCGAAGTCCAAGCCATGTCCCCTCTAGATAGTTTGTGTTCTTGACCCTATAGTATTCCTTTAAATATTTGTGCATACAACTATCTTAATCAATAACTACCATCTAGCGGACGTAGCGCATGATATACTTCTATACATGTTTAGTGCTAGGTAGATCATTTTTATATCAAAAACAGTATGTTTTCCAAAATTACTTTACAAGCACTACGCATAGTGCTTTTCAAATGCAAATAACTTAATGCACATCTTAGACTGTTTCTATGAAAAGCGGTCTACCAAACTAACCTTATCAAATTCTACAATATAAAAGCCTGGAAGGCTTGTCATATCTAAACTGGTACTCCATGCCTTCACTCTTTCAGGACGTAGAATGGATAAATCCCTTAGATAGTCTCATTGTATTCCAAGTAAGGGTTGGGAAGGAAACTGTTTGCCCTGCTCACCAAGAACCTTTTATATATGGTCTTTTGCAATAACCTAAACCTCTGTCTCTCTCACTTGGAGACTACCACCCATATCTTATTCCACCTCAAACTCTGCAAAATAGTATAACTGACACCATACCAAGTTAGGTCTTTAAAAATTCTCGAATATGCATAAATCCCCATCGCCAATATTCTTTGGGACAATAAAATGTAAAAAAAAAAAAAAGAAGGGTTCAGGTGACATCCCTGTAGTACCCCTGCTGCTGACATTTTTCTTTCCTTTTAAAAATGTCTATTACTTTTAACACTTCTGAATTATTCTAAGGTCTGACTAAATGCATCATCTCCCATAGTATTCCCAGATTTGATCATACTGTTCATCTTATACATTTAAACTATAAATCTGTCTGTACCGTACCTTTGCTCACACCTTTTCTTTCCCATTCCACTTTTTAATAGTAATTTTATCACATTTCTTTATTTCTCTGCATCATCACCTTTGCAATCCCCTCCATTAGTTCCTTAGTCTTTTACTTACTAATCTTTGAATAAAAAAAAATAAGCATTGTGACTAATAGTAAAATAGTGCATGAAATTGGTATAATACAATAAAATGGGTGCTACTATCACCTATGTGGGTCACTCCACCACAAACAAGTGAGAATAAAATAGTAAAAGTGGTGAGAGCACACAAAAAATTTAATAAATATGTTACCACTATGGTCAATTAGAATCCTATAAAAATAAACCAGGAGACAAACAAAGGGTAATAATGTACAAATAAGTATTCAAATGTGAATAATTGTACACACTCACATATTTCTAAGCCACTTATTGGAAGCTGGCTCAGACTAAGAACGTTGAATGGATAAATGGTAGTGATTGCTGGATACAAATGCTGTCAGGTTACTTGTTCCTTCCTTTAAACACCCAGGATGCAGGGTCTTTAAGAAAGGTTTATTTAACACAAAGTAAAATCAGCAACAAAGTTAAAAACCAGCGATAACACTGTCCATACACTGACGCGTTTCAGCCGAAGCCTTTTTCAAAGTGTGTATCCATTGTCTGTTTCCGTGTTAAATAGGTCCCATTTTCGTGCCTTTTCGATGTTCGATCCTTGACTCCTCCCCTTTTCTCTCTCGACGTCCAGATGCAACCATCACAGGGCATCCTTACGTTAATTCTATTGCATTCACTTCCGCATTCGTCATTCATGACGTGGAGGGGATTCCTTGCATTGTACCAAACAGTCTATATTATGTAAAGTTATATGAACGTCCACATATAATATATGGCATAATGGCATTTGCATAAAATATGGATTAAAGTATATACAATATTACATTCACTTAGATACTTTAAATATATCACAACAATAAAATCTGTGAAAATATAAAAAAAAATTAATGAGAAAATATTGAATCCATACAATAGACTAGGAAAAATGGTGACCAATACCATTTGTTTTAATGGCCATGTCTAAACTTCTGCTCAATTGTGAAAGTAGATCACCTTATAGGTTTTAGAAGCGTGAAAACAGAAACCGGTCTCATGATTGCAGTTATGCACGCAAGAAAAGCATTATATCTAAGAAAAAAATTGTTTTCCCTCACCTCTAATGATACCAACTGTGATGGCAAACAACTTTGAAAGTTCCCAAACGCCCACTTTTTATTTAATAAATGATTCTTTGCATAAAACATGTGGGGTAGAAATGTATAAAATGTCTTTCAAACATTAAAGTCCCCAAACACTGTACTCTATTCACGCAATACATTGTTTCACACAGAAACTACTGGTTTTAATTTGCACAATTATTCTGTCAATATGATTGATCCACCTGCTCTAACATTAAAATATCCAGAAAACCCGCACTGTCATGGAGTCCTTTTGAGAATATACATAGTACAAACCTCTACAAAGGTCAGAAGAATAAGTTGGGAGATATACAGGAAGTATAAGAAGGTTTCTTGCTGGGAGTAGCTGTAAAACAGATGCTGTAGACAGTAATGTTTCATACCAGTTGTCAATTTGCAGAAAGAATAGTAAATGCTAATACTACTAAAGTCCTAAGTGTCATTTAATAGAAACCAGATTTAAAGTAACACTATAGCGTTAGGAATACAAACATTAATTCTCAACGCTATAATGTTTTCCTTTTCATTTAGTTTAGAACTCCCCTTCAATCTGAATAAAACATCTTAAGACATTTACTCACTTTTGTTTTTCTAGCACGGCAGTTCAGCCTTTGTAGGTCAATCAACCTGTGACATCATGCAGACGCTTCTATGTTGCCCATTCCATTGCTCCTCATAAAGGAGCCTTGGGAACAAAAAGCGCATGTATGGCCAGCGCTGTGCTCCTCCAATGAAATGGAGGTTAGCTGTGAGAAGAGAGTTTGACTTGGTTCTCACAGTGGAAGAACCTCTAGTGTGTGTTGGTAAGACAGCAACTAGAGATATATTTAACCCTGCAATTTAAGCATTGCTGTATCTGTGAAATGACAATGTTTTACATTGCAGGGTTAAAATTAAATTAACACTTCATCGAGATGCAGTGTTCTGGATGCCTTTAGTATTTTCAGTTAGTATTGGTTACCACTTGTAGTCTAGTCATTAATGTGTAAACTATAGTTGTAAGCTATTGTTCCTTTAAGAACCTGGAAGGCTTTAAGCAGATTGGTAGTGGTAAAAAATACTTTGCACTAAGATATATATGAAATATAGACAATCTTTGTGTCACATTTCCTTTTTTTATAAATTAGCAGTAACTCGTCTAAAACCTAATCTTTAAAGAGACACGGTCGTCGCACTATAACTGTTAAAGTGCAGTGGTTGTTGCCTAGAGTGTCCTGAGTTCATCCCTTGCTTTAATGTTAAATTTCCCTGCACCTGGTGATTTTGCTATCTTGGTCACATTTAATATTGCAGAATTAACACTACTGCATTATCAAGGTCAATTGTGTCCATCCTAGGTGGCTGTGGTTAGCCCAGCAATCTAAGCCAATCCGTGTTGCTAAACCCATAAAGTATATGTCCTCTGAAATAATTTAAAAGTAAAATATATAAATCTTCCACTTTTGATGTTGTATCTTTTTGAATTTCTATCCATTCAGATTCTGCTGTAAACTTGTAGCATTATTACATTTGAAAATAACACAAGCACACCACCTCCACTACATGTAAATGAATGTCTGCAGATAAAATGGCCTATTTTGTTAACTAAAGAGTCAAAGATTTAGAAAAAAAAGACTAATTGTATCCTGCATTGATATTGGCATTCTTCAAAGTACACTTCAAGCGCCTATGTTGCAATGGTGCATCATCATAACGCTCTTTCGTTGTTTACCTCTTTCTAAAGTGAACAACAGTCTACGTACAAATGTGTTTTCAAGTAACTACTGTGCAGGAATTTCAACTAAAAGCCTATAAAGATGTATGGTAACAGAACGAAGGGGACTTTTCTATTTACCTACATTTACAAGCTTGCAGGTTGCCTAATTGTGCTAGGCCTCTGTTTAAATAATTTGGATCAGCATTTAAAAAAACAATAATAATAAAAAAAAATTCAAATGATTTGCCTACAAAATCCCCCATGGGCTGTAATGGTGACTTCTGTAGATTAATCATTAGAAAAGTTTGTGAGCACCTCTTATGCTGATCCAAACTAATTAAATTGAGGCTTTTGTTTTTGTTATGGCAAATGAATGGAGAAGCATCATCCACTCTCTTACATATAAACACATACGCCCCTCCCTTGTATTAGAACTTTGTTAATGTTAAACTTCCCTAGCAAGTACATGAAAATATACTTTATTATTAAAATAACAGCCCTTACAGTTACTTAGAAACATTTGATGTTAGGCTGTTTCATAGGTTAGAACAGTTAGAGACAAAAATTCCAAAAATATACTAGAGTTGAATTAGATATAAACATGGAAATAAAGAAATAAATAAATTGAAAACTGAAAGAAAAATCTTAATATAAATTTATATAAAATATAAATTTAAGAATCAAGTTGGAGTGCGCTCTACTAATTCCCTATGAAAAAATTTCTGTCATCAGGAGAAGCTTGAAGGCTCCTTGTGCAAGACATAATGGCATATATCATGGTGCATTATGTCTGAGTACACTAAATTAATTTGTTTTAGCCTCAGATTGTACTTACAAACACAAAAATAGTGAATATAGTTAAATTGACCCATTAAAAGGCTTGCCTAACCAAACTAAGTGCCTGTAGTGTTCTATTTTCTACTTTGAATGTATCTATTGAGCAGTAATGTTTATTGTGCTCACTTTGTGACTTACTATGGAGCATACATGGAAATACATTATTTTCACTTGTGGTAGTTGGTATTAACTTAGTAACTCTCTCCCACAGACTCTGCTATACCTACAGCAGAATGCCAAGGACAAAGCAGAGCAGCTTGCCTCCTCCAGCATGGCTGGTAGCAGCCTCCCTATCCCCCCCAGCACATCAAAGATTTCCATGCAGGAATTGGAGGAACTGCGGAAACAGCTGGGAAGCGTAACCACTTCAGTGACCAGTGGACCACAGGTAGAGCTCCACAGAGAAAAACTACTACTGTGTAATGTGGATGTCAAAGATCATTGGCTTAAAGTTTGATGTTGCAAGCAGACTGTATTTCATATCTAGAGTGTATTAATTGTTAAGACGTGTGATGGTTTTTAGTGGAGTGAATTCATCTGAAAGAAAAAAATATATATATCAACCTGTTCTCACGTATATTTAGTGTTCGTTTTTATTTTGTGCATCCCAAGATGTTTTTTATTTTTATAAACGCTGACATTCTTGCTATACAAGATTGACAAGATTGCCTTTACGACCAACAACATAAGCTCTATCATGGTTGTCCACTGGGTAAATTAGAATATTCTATAGATTAATGCTACTGTAATATTAAAAGAATGTTGAGTGTGCACATTAGACTTACTGATGAAACTTTGCACGTTTGACCCCATAACACATGATTGACACAGTGTGTTTTTTTTGTATGCATTTTGACTGTTGATTATAGCAGTTTCTTGAACTGTTATCAGATTATTAGTCTGTTATTTGGATTATTCAGATAACAGTTGCACACTACACAGATCTCTCTTGAATTTAATTTCATTCTGTAAGAGACTAGGGCAGGAAGGAAAGAGAGCGATAAAGACTTCTTTGCTCCTCCATACACAAAAAGATGTACAACTGAGAGACAGATTGCTCATTGGCTTCTTCTATTAAATATGTATGTTTGATACCTCTACCACTAACTGTCTTGTGCTAATTTTTGCTGATATTTTCAACATCTCACACCAGCCTGTTGAGGTTTTGCGGAAGGTGCTTAGAGAAAAATTGAACAAGAAAAATGCTGGGCAGCCAGTTCCAGTGTTCCCAGCCTGGGTGTATGAGAGACCAGCACTTATTGGGGATTTTTTACCTCTCTCCAACCCAGGCACTGACATTACAGTTCCCATAGGTATGTGAAATAAACTACAAAAAGCAGAAGTAAAAGGAATGTATGGCATTGTGAGATTTGTCTTATTTTTTTTATTTTTTATTATTTTTTTAAAGCAGAATTGTTTGTAGTAAATATGCAATAAATCTATGTTTCTTTTTCTGTCCCTGCAAGTTCTTATTTGTAAATCCTGCAGGGTTGTTTAACTCCATACGTTTGCAGAAAACCAAATATAAACTTAATAAACTTCACTATCTCTTAAACAAAATACCAGAATTGAGAATCTGGATCTCCAGGAACCCAGAGGCTCTTTTTAGACTACATGTTCGTCTCATACTAGGAACTTTTTGAAGATCTAAGAAACAGGTATCATGGTGTAATACCCCAACACGCAGAATTTAGGATAGCAAGGGACAAGACTAGGAAATAACGTATTACCAGGCCTTAGAATGAGAGACGAGGTCAAGGTAACGGAGAGACAGCAAAAAAAAGAACTAGCCAGAGTCAGGGACATGGTAATCAGTCAGGCGGGCAAACAAGACCGGAAAGGGTTAAAGATAAATACAGAGTCAGATACAAAGCCAAGGTCAATATCAGAATAAACAGAAGAGATCAAGGAACGCACTAAAGGGTACTGAAACAGAAACCACAATAGGGCAAAGTGGAGAGGGCTAGAGAAGTTTAAATATCCTTAACTGACATTTGATTGGCCCACGTCATTCCCACGCCTCCAAAATGTTTGTTTTTGGGGGCGTCTAAATGACGTGGGCCAATTGGAGCCTGAATCTACCTTTGGCAACCACTACCCCTTTAAGAGCCCCTTTACAAGTCGATTTACCTTTATTTTTAGACATAATTGGTTAGCCTGGCTAGTTGCCACATCCTTTTTGTGACAGCATTATAAGACAGACTGGGTGGGCATACGTTTTAAAGCCTTCATTTACTTTTATAATTTTTTTAGACCATGACCTTGAAGTTGATTCATTCTCAGTTCAGTGAAGGCTTCTCTGTGCCATTGTCTCTCTGTTAGCTTCCCAAGCATTCTGCACAGCAATAGTGGATAACATTGTTTCAGTACTTTTTGTTACAGTATTCTACAAGCTTATCTGTGTTTAGTTTTATAGGCTAGCTTCATTTTCTTGGATATAGCTATCCACCCTCTCCTCCCAACCTGGTTGTTGATGAGGCTGATACAACACAGGTTTCCACCTTATAGCTTCCTTCCAATTATAGTCTAGTAGCCTCCTGCATTCTGCTACCCTTTCTACCAAATTAGGATTGCTAAACTCATTAGCTCCCTTTAGGGGATTATATGTTGTGTGTTACTTTTGTTCTTTGTTCTATATACTCTAATACATTTTGTTTTTACAATTTTCTTGCATACCTTAGGGACTTTACTGTGTCTTCTGGACTTTATGTCCACTGGCCACGCCAGTGTACATTTTTATCAAGGGGTTAAGCAGAAAGCCAGGGGCAGCAATTGTAGTATAACCACTACAATAAACTATGGTTATTGTGCTTAGACGGTCCCTTTAAACACACATTTTTAAAAATATATTAAACGCACATGCAGAATAAAGTTTCAGTGTTCTAGTTTGTCATATTTTTACATTTAACAAACACACATACCTTCATATAGGAACTGCTATAGCAAATGGTTGGCATTTTAATAATGTAGTTTAAGCTGATTTGTTTGTGCATGTCAGTTAGATAGCCCCATACACATGCACCTCTTCCTTCCTTTTTTTTTTTTTTTAAATGTGTGAGCATATCAATGACAGCAACAGTAGACATTGTGTGCACATATGAAATTATTTAAAGGACCACTCTAGGCACCCAGACAACTTCAGCTTAATGAAGGGGTCTGGGTGCCAGGTCCAGCTAGGGTTAACCCATTTTTTTTTTATAAACATAGCAGTTTCAGAGAAATTGCTATGTTTGTAAATGGGTTAATCCAGCCCATCAAATCCTCTAGTGGCTGTCTCATTGACAGCCGCTAGAGGCGTTTGCGTGTTTCTCACTGTGAAAATCACAGTGAGAACACGCAAGCGTCCATAGGAAAGCATTATGAATGCTTTCCTATGAGACCAGCTGAATGTGCGTGCAGCTCTTGCCGCGCGTGCGCATTCAGCGGAAGGGGAGGAGAGGAGGAGGAGAGCTCCCCGCCCGGCGCTGGGAAAAAAGGTAAGTTTTACCCCTTTCCTCTCCCCAGAGCCGGGCGGGAGGGGGATCCTGAGGGAGGGGGCACCCTCAGGGCACTATAGTGCCAGGAAAACGAGTATGTTTTCCTGGCACTATAGTGGTCCTTTTAAGTTTTACAATAAATTCATAAATGAACATGCAAAAGTGCGTCATAAGTGGCCCACATTAGTCTGTGCATACATACGGGCAGTAACATGTATATATTTTCGCGTTTGATCCTGGTAACATACTTCAGTTCCATATAATAAAAAATAACAACTATAAAAATGAATATAATGCCGGAAGACAATAAGCACCCTCACAACACATGCTCCTCCTTTTTCAAGAAGCTATTAATCTACCTGTAATACTGTAGCATCACTGTGTGCAGATATGGCAAACTGAAGCATATTTCTGTGTTACAGGGTCTCTTCCTTTACCTTCTCAAGAAGCCACCATTGTGGAGGACCTGCTGTATGTACTTATTGGAGTAGATGGACGTTATATATCCGCCCAGCCCCTTGTTGGAAGGCAGAACCGCTCATTCTTGGTAGATCCAAACCTAGATATGTCCGTGAAGGAGCTGGTGAACAGAATCCTGCCAGTGGCTGGCAGTTATTCCATGGTCACAAGGTGCAAAAACATAAGTAAACACAAATTATTGTAGTTAAAGGGGAACTGTCACTTGTCTGCAAATTACACACATGAATAAACCATGAAAGTTGCCAATGGCTTTTGTTCATATTTATTTGGTGCTTCTTTTAAGATTTAGCAGCTGACCTCTCAATCCACTGAGGTTTAGGGACAGACCGGGCACACAAAGCAAATGGGGAGGAGGAAAGGAGCCATTGTTTCTAACAATGCTTGCCAGGGACATAAGATGTAAATTCAGCATTGTAGATTTCTAAATTCTATTTTTCACATGTCACAAACACATTTGTTAAAGATAGGGGGTAAATAAATATCATATTAAGCATCCAAGGAAGCAAGTTTTTTGTTTTGTTTTGTTTTTAAAGCATTGTTTTGAAATCAGGCCTTTATTGAGCCATGATATCAATGCAATAGAGTAAGCCAGCCTGGACAGTATTTGTTAGTATTACACTACAAAAAAATGGATAGTTAAAGGGACACCGTAGGCACTGTTTCTGCTTCATCTCATTAAGATGGTTATAGTGTATGGTGCCATAATTTCTTTCAGCATTAAACAGTTTTTATGTTGTAATGTTTTAATGCTAAACAAGAGACCACGGCAGTCCATCCCATCTGTGCTGCTTTGGCTAATAAGGAAGTATTACCCTGAGCAGCAATGTGCAGCTGTGATTTGCTGAGAGTGTCAGCTGACTGCTTTTAACCTGTCAGAGTTCCAACTGACGGTATGAATTGGTATGACAACAAAGAAGTGTGTAATCTCTGCCTTAGCTACACATACAGAAGGGGCTGGACTGTGGGTGGCCAGGGACTCTTATTTTGTGGCATACTGCACAAACATGGTGCAACACTGAATGGAGGGACTGTGCCAGGGCACTCCAGGCACTATAACCAATTCAAAAAAATGAAATGCTTATAGTGACTACAGTTTCCCTTTAGGTATAGCTGGTTACTCCTATCCATTACCTTCACCTTCCCTCCCACACTGTTATACTACCCTTAGATGCAGTTCCTATTAGTTGTGCTATTACCTCTCTCTACATGATGGCTAGATGACTGGATACATGCATTTTAATTAAAGTGCTATTTCTGTTTCAGTAAACATTGCAAACAGTCCTTCATAGTCAGAACATTGTGTAGAAATTAAATAGTTGGTTAAACTAAATCTGTCAATTTTCTTTTGTACTGGTTTGTACGTGCCATGGAAAAAATAACTTTGTGATCAATAAAATAATACATTTGTGGTGGCCAAATTGCTACCAAATGTATAGATTAGGCTTTTTTAAAGTTGACATTTGGAGAGAGAGAGAGAGAGAGTGTGTGTGTGTGTGTGTGTGTATGTATATGTATGTATATATATATATATATATATATATATATATATGTATGTATATTGCTCCAAATGTCAAAATATCAACTTTAAAAAAGCCTAATCTATACATTTGGTATGTATGTATTTACACATACATGGCCACTCCGTATTCACTATGAGACCAAATGACCGGTTCACCAGTATTTCCCAAATAATGATGTACCTACAAGTCATGTTTTGATTAATGTGTGTCCTTTATTAACAGTTACCTTGGTCCTTCATTATCCTTAACAGATTCATAGAGGAAAAGTCTTCCTTTGAATACGGCCAAGTGAACCATGCCCTGGCTGCTGCTATGAGGACATTGGTGAAGGAATATATGATCCTTATTACCCAGCTTGAACACCTCCAGCGCCAAGGGCTGTTATCCTTGCAGAAACTCTGGTTTTACATTCAGCCCACGCTCCGGACTATGGAGGTTCTAGCATCTCTTGGTGAGTTAACATTGACGTGAAATAAAGGAAATGCTTGCCTGCACAATGTTCAGTGAACTATATAAAGATTGCCATGCTCTATATCAGGAGTAGGCAACCTTTGGCACTCCAGATATTATGGACTAAATTTCCCCTGATGCTTTGCCAGTTTATGACTGTAAGAGCTTTATGGAAGATTTAATCCACAACATCTGGATTGCCAAAGGTTTCCTAACCCTGCCTATATGATCCCTTCAAGGGAAACTTCTAAGCTTCAGAAGAGTCATCTCCGGCTCTTGATTATAGAAAAGAGGCAATTCATTGTTTCCCAAGGACTGACAATATTCCACCACCAGGACAAATGGGCAAAGATATTTTGTATTTGTAATTAGTTTGTGTTCTTACTATTCAGGTTGTCCCTGGCAATCATAACCTGCCCCCTCTCCAGCTCCATTGATAACTGTTATCCTCATTGTCCATATCAGCTCTGTCTAACTTGGATAGCTCTGATTGGCTGTGAGAGTTCTTTAACCCATTGTTGTCCAAGCTGGAAGAATTAAATAAGGTTAATGCAGAAGTGTAAATACCACATTATCAGTCTGGATGCAGTTAGGGGAAGACTACAGGTGCCACAGAAGACCCTGTTTTTTTTTGTTTTGTTTTTTTTCAAACCTCCTAATGGCATGACAATAAAAGTGTTATGGAGCCACTAGTCATTCGTCACCATAACCACTACACTGAACAATAAATATGTTTCTCAGAGCATCCTTTTAACTCCATTTCTTCGTTTACCTTCATTAATCTCGTGGCATTTTTTGATGTTTTTATTTCCGATGATGTGTTTCATTTTGTGCAATGTGTATGATTTGTGTGTACAACTAATACGTCCATTTATCAGTTAAAGAATCAGCATAGTATAGGATTAAAAAAGTTTTACGAAAAAAACAATACAAATATAATTCCCTCCTTTTTGTTCCAAATCACAATGCTCCTGTTTGCTTGTCCTCAGCCATTTCATTGGATAAAGGAGAATGCCTAGGTGGAGCTACACTCAGCCTGCTGCATGACAGAACGTTTGGCTACACTGGGGACAGTCAGGCCCAGGAGTTGTGCCTCTACTTGACAAAAGCAGCAAGTGCTCCGTACTTCGAGATCCTGGAGCGTTGGATCTACAGAGGAATTATCAATGATCCCTACAGGTATAATGTTCACAGAAGAACAAGGGGAAAAATACGCAATGTGTAATGACAATAAATTATTATTATTTGTTTCTAGAAAGTACACACAAACATGTGGCTCTATAAACATCTATACTTTCAAAAGAAGTTATAACTGATAAATCACTGGTAATATCAGTTCTGAAGCTTGCATTTCATAGATAATTTGGGAGATCATTCAAAGAGTAAACTAAGTGGGGTGTTGCTTAGGTTAAACAATGAAGCATAGTAAGATAGACATCAAAATCACAATATGGAACAAACCTTAACATATCAAGGGATTTCATAAAATGTAAGATCAAATGCTACAGAGATCATACTTTTGAGCAGGGGCTCTCAACCCAGTCCTCAAGGACCCCCTACCAGTCCAGGATTTAGGGATTACCTAGGTGTGTCTAAGGTGTTTAGAAAAAAACAACACTTTAGGTAATCCCTAAATCCTGGACTGGTAGGGGGTCCTTGAGGACTGGGTTGAGAACCCCTGCTTTTGAGGATGTAAAAAAAAGGGGGGGGGGGATTTTGTGAAAGTACAGTAGGAATATAGAGTGGAAATAGTCTTCTAGCATAACTGTTACCATCAAATATGGTAAAAGCTAAAGGGCAAAATAAGCATTATGTAAAGTTTAGACTATACGAACATTGCTGATGTGCCTGACTGCTATCTAGGGCATGTGGCTGTGCCTTTAAATACAACAACCAATATGAAACTACATTTCACCACATCTTTAATTTTTCACAGCATTGCAAGGTCTTGCTGAGCTTCAATACTCATCTGTCCCGAGATGGCCAATCTGGCTCATCACGCAGATTATATAAATTTAATGTATTGGGTTACAGAAAGTTGAATCTGATATTCCTACTTCGCTGGCCCATGTTTCTGGCGTGATTTTTTTTCTACTTATAGAGCCCTCCAGAGTACATGTGACTAATTGTTAATGCATTGTACAGTTAAAACATTAAAACACCAAAACAGCCCAATATCTCTAATTTCCTGCAAATGGGTATCTGCTGCTTGGGAATGCCATTCCCAGTACAGGGAGAAATAAAGCAATAAGCAAATGTTTGCTCAAGTAACTGGAAACAGGGTTCAGAAGCCATGCATCAGAATCATGCGAATAAATTATTTGAATTTTTTTTTTCTTCAAGTTTCACTTTTATTTATTCTGTACCGTAAGTGATCCTTAATAAAATGTATTTTGTTTCGTTATCGTATAAGTCGCCCTGTTACCAGTGGATATTGTAGTTCATCATTAGGTATACATATATATTTATATGCAGTGCTTCCCACACTATATGCTTTCGGTACTTTTTTGATATTTCTCTCTACTTCTCTCTCAGTGAGTTCATGGTGGAGGAGCATGAACTGAAAAAAGAAAAAATCCAAGAGGATTATAATGACAAATATTGGGACAAGCGTTACACCATTGTGCAACAGCAGATCCCATCCTTTTTACAAAAGGTGGCAGACAAGATTCTCAGCACAGGTAAAACAAATTGTCAGAGTCTCTACAACACAATTATAAGGTGCATATTTATACTTATTCCTCGTCATTCACAAGGTTATTATTATTATTATTCAATTCTTAACACTATATTAAATTGCAAGGATATGCAATGCTTCCATGAATTACATGGTCTATAAGGACCATGACAAGGCATAGCATGTCTTGCCCTCAACAACAGCTGGTGGCTTTTCATTTCAGTTCCTTCAGAGAACCAGATACCAGTCAATAAACACACCAATACATTAATATTTTTATATTGAAAAAAATGTCTCCTTACAGGAAGTGTTTAGGAAGTCTGTGCAAATCACGTGCAGGGAGTTGTGACCAGGGCTCTATAAACAAAGTGATGTAACTCCTAAATGGCAGATAATTAAGCAGTGAGACTGCAGAGGCATGGTCTATACCCTAAAATTACTTCATTAAACTTAAGTTGTTTTGGTGACTATAGTGTCCCTTTAATAATGAGGGAATTTGTAGAAATTAATTAACATAAATCTACAAATGCATGTAATCAATTCCCTAGGGACATTGAAACCGGAAAATGGAAAATGTGTTTGTAGACTATTACAATTTGTTACAGTGTTATTCTTATAATCTTATTGCTGAATTCAAATGCCTAGGTAAATATCTAAATGTGGTTCGAGAGTGCGGCCATGATGTTACCTGCCCAGATGCGAGAGAGATTATCTACACCTTGAAGGAGAGGGCATATGTGGAGCAGATTGAGAAAGTGTACAGCTATGCCAGCAAAGTTCTTCTAGACTTCTTAATGGAAGAGAAGGAACTGGTAGCACGTCTCCGGTATGATGCTGCAAATCATGATGCAAATTAGTAACTATTAATGATAATGTTTTCACTATAGTGATCACAACAGTTATGTAGTTCCAATGCTAGCACGTGAACTGTAAAACTTACAATTTTATTTAACATCTTGTTCATGTAAATATTATTTGTGTACAGCCATAAAATAGAAAATATGTTGTTCAGCCATGACAGTAAAACCACTGACAGGTGAAGTGAATAAACTGATTTTATATCATAGGATTGGCACCTGACATGGGGTGGGATATATTAGGCAGCAAGTCAGCAGTCCGTTTTTCAATTTAATTCAATTTAATTTGTTGGTAGCAGGAAAAATGGGCAAGCAAAAGATCTGAGTGACTTTGACAAGGGCTAAATAGTGATGGCTAGACAACTGGGTCAGAGCATCTCCAGAATAACAAGTCATGTAGGGTGTTCCCAGTATGCAGTGGTAATAATCAAAAGTGATACAAGTAAGGACAACCGGTGAACAGGCTTCAAGGTCATAGATGCCTAAGGCTCATTGATACACATGGGGAACAAAAGCAAGCCGCTCTGGACCTACAACACAAAAATGCTATTGTAGCTCAAATTAATGCTGGCCATGATAGAAAGGTGTCCGCACACACAGTGTATCATAGTTTGCTGCATATAAGGCTACATGGTTGCAGACCAGTCAGTGCCAATGATGACCCCTGTCCACCAGCGAAAGCACCTACAATGGGGACGATAGCGTCCGAACTGGATCATGGAGAAGGGTGCCTGGTATCATGAATCACATTTTCTTCTAGATCAGGCGGATGGCTGAGTACGTGTGCGTCGTTTACCTGGGGAAGAGATAGCAACAGGATGCACTATGGGAAGAAGGCAGGGCAGCAGAGGAACTGTTATGCTCTGGGCAATGTTCTGATGGTAAACCTTGAGTCCTATCATTCATATGAATGTTACTTTGACTTTTACCACCTATCTAAATATTGTTGCAGACAACGTGCACCCCTTCATGGCCTGCAACAATATTTAGACAATGATGTTCCCTGGTGGCAATGCCCAGTTTCACAAGGATAATCCACCCAGCCACACTGCAAAACATGTTCAAAAATGGTTTGAGGAACATGACAAATAATTTTAAATGTTGCCTTTGGCTCCAAATTCCCCAGATTTCAATCCAATAGAGCATCTGTGAGATGTGGTGGAACAACAAATCTGATCCATGGAGGCCCTGCCTCGCAACTTGCGGGGCTTAAAGGATCTGCTGTTAATCTCTTGGTGCCAGATACCACAGGACACATTCAGAGGTCTTGTGGAATCCATGCCTCGAAGCATCAGAGCTGTTTTGGCAGCACGAGGGGGACCTCCATGATATTAGGACAGTGGTTTTAATGTTGCTGCTCATTGCTATATTAATCTTGCTCAAAAGCAAGGGAACCAAGATCAAAACAAAGAGCAAATATTCCTCATCGGGATTTTTAAGGATTCTTTCTTGAAAAGCAATCTCTTCTACATTCTTCTGTTCTTTAAATGACATACAGTGTAAAATAACATATTTATTTTTGGCAGGTCTATAAAACATTACTTCCTCATGGATCAGGGAGATTTCTTTGTGCACTTCATGGACTTGACGGAAGAGGAACTAAAGAAGAGTGTTGATGATATTATCCCAACCCGATTAGAGGCTCTTCTGGAACTAGCCCTGAGGATGAGCACAGCCAACACTGACCCCTTCAAAGATGATCTAAAGGTATATGTAAATATTGTTTCCTTTCAGTTTGTTTGGATCTTTCTAACCCATTCTTTAAAAGCTATATCCTTAAATTCCCCTGATGTTCAGACTTATGATGTAAATGCACTAGTTATCCTCCCAGCAGGCTTTATCTGCAAAATTTGAAATTTCAAATCATTCTAAAACTAGCTTAATGACAATATAGAGATCATGAACTCAGACGTACTTGTGTTTCATGATGTCTATGATTAACTGAACCATCACCTTTTTTTGTGTGTTTTTTCTCTTCTGAACTTAGTAGTCTGTGCATGTCTAAAATAAGATTTGATGCCATCCTTGATAATATTGGGCTCCTCTAACACTCTCTTTTGTCTTATTGGTAATATGCCAGTTTTGTGAAGTAGCCTTATTGCTGTTCTTCGATTTCTTTCCAGATTGAGCTAATGCCACATGACCTTATAACCCAGCTCCTCCGTGTGCTCGCTATTGAGACTCGCCAGGAGAAAGCCCTGATTAATGCCGATCCAACTGAGCTTTCATTGAGTGGCCTTGAGGCATTCTCCTTTGATTATATTGTCAAGTGGCCCCTTTCACTGATCATAAACAGGTATGGATCTCTATAGTGGGGAAAGCACCAAGCCACAAAATGTTTTGTAGAGTGTTTTTGCAAATTTCAACATTAAATATCTGATTATAATTAGCGTTGATATCTCACTGACATTTTCCACAGCACTTTACAAGTATACCCAGTTTTACTGAACAGATGTTTATAGTGACAGGTGTTTACAGTTATGGGTATACTTCTGTTCAAGTATTACGGTATAATGACATCGGCTAGCGTAGTGCAGGTTAAGGGTACTTGGACTAGGGAGTGTTTTGGCTTATGAGGAATTGTCTTCCAAAATGCTGTGCACTATACTCCTATTGCTTTCTTTGCTTCAATTTTGTCTCCCACTTCAATACTACCACATGATGATTTTTTGCTTTTTCCCACTCAAGTGATGAATAGTCCCCTAAGAGGGAAATGTTTACCAAGCTTCTCTGAGTCCATAAAAGATGTAGTACCTGACAGTAAAATGGAGACCCAACTATAAGTGATGTTTTTTTTTTTTGCTATGAAAAGTATGATTGTTGTCCGTATCTTTAAAACTGGAGCGGTAGTCATGAAAACCAATGTTTTTGTTAACTCACAATAGGCCCTTATATTGTATATAATTTATTTGCTACATAAACATTACATAATAGTAACTTGGTCAATGGCGGCCAAATAAATGTGTACATACTCCTCGATACGTGTCAGTATGGCTGCATGGCAAACAAAATAAAAAAAGATGATTTTCATGTTTTAATGCAGCGACATGAACCTTTAAATTTTACTCTCCCTTATTTATCCTGCAGAAAGGCCCTGACTCGCTACCAAATGCTTTTCCGCCACATGTTCTACTGCAAACATGTGGAGAGGCTTCTGTGCAATGTGTGGATCAGCAATAAGGCTGCAAAACAATTTTCCCTGCATTCTGCGAAATGGTAAATACTTCTTAAAGTAAAGGGATTGCATGTCCTCACAGATCTGAAAGAGTGCAAATGTCCCAAATGGTGATGGCATATATTGAATTCTGAGTAAACCCTTTACTGAAGGGTAGATAACTTTTATCTGTTTTATTAGATATTGACTGGAGCTGCAGACCCGTTGCTCCAAATAGTATTGCATTGATTAATAAAGATGAAGGGATGGATTTAAAAAAAAAAAAATTCTTCTTCTTCTTCACTTTTTTAAGCACATCAGGAAATCACTTTTTTTTCTCCTTTCCCTTTTGGTTAAATGACAGCAACATTGATGATTAGGGATGAAGAAGCCAGCATACAATTGTAGATTCCAGGGACCCGCCTTCAGGCTGAATGTCAGACTAACAAAATAATAATAAAGAGTCCACAAAGCTCAGGCTCTTTGACTTAATGGACACTGCAGCTTTTTAATGAATACTGGTCTTGGCCAAGCCTTGACAAAGGCTAGCTTTGGTCAAAACATCATGTGGTCCACTTGTTGTGGAATAAGAATTAATTCACAGAAGTTTTGCAGACTCTAACACGTTACTTATGTTTTTCTGATATTGAAACACTGATGTCTGATTTATTGAGAGCCTTATCGGAAGCTCTCTGCCAATCAGTGGCTATCCATCTTAACCTTCATAATATTGAGATGGCAGCTGTGCCAGGCTCTGAGCCTACACCTTCAGGGTTAAACGGAGCGTAAGTAATTATGGGGGTGGGATTAGACCTTTAAAGGAACACTTTGGGCACCATAATAACTTAATCAAAAGGAAATTGTTATGGTGCCCGGAGGTGCCTAGCGCTGGCTCACCTTTTAGGGATTAAACCGTTCTCAAATGGTTTAACCCCAAAATCTGTTTTCCAGCAATGGGCATCTCTGCTCCTCTGTCCTTCTGTTTGCTAAACATCTGGAAACCGGAAGGCTCTTGCAGCATCGGACAGTGGTCAGCTGACACTCTTAGCTTATGAATTCCAGGATGATTATGCGTAAAAAGATTGCTATAACACATTAAACAATGTAAATAATTACAATATCAATGCATTTTATGCTCATTTGGTTCCACCTCCACCTGTACTTGTTAATCCTTTATGTGCAATGCAATCATTCGAAACCAGGACTTACTGTTTATTGTGGACAATATCTCCCTCCTTCCTTCTCTTTACATATCCAGGTTTGCAGGAGCATTTACTCTTCGCCAAAGAATGTTGAATTTTGTACAGAACATTCAGTATTACATGATGTTTGAGGTGATGGAGCCAACATGGCACATATTGGAAAAAAACCTGAAATCTGTGAGTTAAACATGAGCCAAACTCCAGCTCATTTTATGATACCTATACATTTGTTACTCAGTCTTTACAAGCTCCACCAAGCTTTAACTCCATACATGACCAATGATTTTTTTCACATTCTTTCACAGTGCCAGGTACAGCTAATTAAAATCCTAAAATACCTTGATTGGGGTACTTAACAAATCACTCAGAATAGGGTGGAAAAAACTTAGCAAAACCGTAACAATATGTAAACATTACACTTAAAGTGTGGGTGTTTGAATTTACAGAGGGAACCGTAAAAGGACCATTTTATACCCTAAAAGCACTTCAACTTGCTGAAGTACTTTATGGGTGAGGGCTAGCCCAGCTTAGAAAAGTGCTGATTTCTATTAGAAATCAGCACTTTTATAAATTGCTAGGGAACTCCCCCCTGGCTGTAAATCAAACAGCCAGGGAGGATTCCTTCCTACTTCCATTAGCTCCCCTGAGCTAACGGAAGTGGCAGGAACTGCTTGCCTCCCCACTCACCAGCTCCTCTGCTCCAAACTTTCCAACGTATCTGTGTGCGCGTGTGCACGAGCCAGTGCGTGCAAATCTAGCTGTCTGTGCATGTGCACAAACCGGCGTGCACGTGTGCCCCAATTCAGAGGCTTCTCAATGAGAAGCCTCTGGTTTGGTTATTTTCCTGTGAAGAGACTGCAAGACTCTTCTAGGAAAAAGGGGGAGGGCTTGCTAAGGCTGCAGTTCATTAGATCTGCAGCCTTGCAAGCTCTTTTAGCATATACCCCCTATGAATACATGCATAAAAGTTCATGCATGTATTCATTGGGGTATATTTACTAAACAGTGATTTATTTTGTTCCCCCCATGTGGGAGGTGGAGTGATCCTTTAAGTATGCCCTTTGTACCAATTTTACATTAAAATAAGCATTTGCACTTTCATTGACAATGAGAATCTAACTGTGCAGACATCTGGCTAAAAGTTTGTATCACATGCGCAAGCTTATTGAACAAGTTTCTGCTAGTTTGGGAGCTAGCTGCCTAATATAGCCAACCCCTTGACAGGTGCCATTGTAACAATGTAATCAATGTTAATTACTTCACCTGTAAGTGGTTTTAATGTTGTGGTTGATCAGTGTAGATGGTATTGAAATCCAGAAGAGTTAAAAAGGTTACAGAAAGAGGCAGTGTAAATGTAGAATAAAAGAGAAACAAGAACAGAGACCTGGGGAACACCAACTGAGAAGAACAGTAGGGAGGTGGTGGCATATTCTCTATAAGACACTAAAGGAGCATTCACAAATTTGGGGTAAAAACCAGGAAAGCAGAGTTTTACAAAGTCCAAGATTGTGGATGGCTTGAAGAAGATGAGTGGTCAGGAAGAGAGATTTGGTTAGTATTGAGCACAATGGGTAAACTCAAGCCAATGAAGAGGCTTAGAAGTGAAGTGAAGTGGAGTGGAGTAGCCATATGGAACGTTCGTTATCAGGAAAAACAGGGTCCAGAGAGGGATCTTTTTAGCTCCACCCATTGCCAAAAATGGACAAAGATCATGCTCCCCATAAGAAAAAGTAGTCCTTAAATTTTCTTATGTATAAATAAAAAAAACTATGGTGAATTTCAAACACATATAAATATAGAAAGTAGTAGTACAAAAAAATGTATAATTTGAAACAAAAAAATTTATAATTTAATGGGATGGATAGTAACGTGTTTACAGTGTACAGCATGCAAAATTGAAACTTTTTTTTTTTGTCACAGGCTTCAAATATAGATGACGTTCTAAGCCATCACAACAACTTTCTTGACAACTGTCTGAAGGACTGCATGCTCACAAACCCAGAGCTACTTAAGATCTTCTCCAAGCTCATGTCTGTCTGTGTCATGTTCACAAACTGTCTGCAGGTGAGTAACAAAACAGCTCATCTTTATCACCACAAGAGATGCTGTTGATTTGGAGTTCTGTAGATCAACTATTGAAATACAATTTTTTTAAATTTTTTTTTTTAATGCGTAAGTTTTGTGGAAAAGTGCATTGAGCTTAATCACCACATAATGCGCTACATTTCTGTTTAATACCCTAAAATTACACTTGCATGTAGATTGCCGTCTAGTAAAACAACAAAAAACTGCAATAGCTGTTATATGACCACCTTCTGTAAATAATCTGATTGTTTTTAATGGGCTTTAAAAGGGGATGGGTTAAACAAAACATTCAATAAAGTGATATGGCACTTTGTGCGTAGTGAGAATAACAACACATGCAGCTCTTTAAAATTAATTCCTCAGGTAACCACAGAAGTTATATTACACATTAACTGTATTCAGAGTGCATATTTAATTCACAACAGGTTATATTGCACATTTGTTCACTAAAATCATCGTTGCCAGGAATGATTGAATGTTTGCATCTCAAACTGATATTTTGAAAATATCTATGCAGGATCTATTTGTCTTTTCTTTATAAGAGATATGATGTAATGTATTAATAATGTTATGGGCAAATGCAAATATTACAAGTTTGTATTTCTTAAACTGTGTACTTTGTCTTTAAGAGATATTGCAAACTGACAAGGTGTTATAAATGGAACATATTGTTTTTCATAACTGTTTCTTTAAGCAATAACCTCAGTGCATAATATGTTTGCGCCATTTTGTCCCAGACGAATTACAGTAACAATAATGCATAAACAAGCTTCAAGGCTATACTACGACTCTTTCAGTACACAATATACTGTGGTAACCTTAAGTAGATAAGGATGTTCAGACTTTAAGATGCCATCTTGAACTAAGTCAGGAAAATTTCCATGACGTATACACCCTTTAGTTATGGCCTTGTATGTTTGCCAAGTTAAGGGAGGTCCTAAAATGAATAAAGTAAAAGAAGTGTTACTTTTTCATATATGAACTATGGTAACCCTAAAATGGAGACACCTAAGGTATAAATAGGTGTACTTTTAAATGTTAAGACACAGAGGAGAGACTTGGAGACAGACGCTGCTCCATCTTAAAATGACAGAGAGGCTGACATGATGACATGTTCAGAAGGGTATGTTAACCTATTAATGATATTTGCAAGCATTTAATTTAATCTTATAAACTCTGCTATAATGGATTTTATATGTCATATATATATATATTTATATTTTTATATAATAAATATCTAAAAGACAAAACTATTGCTTCCAAGACAATCCTTATTTTATATTGTATTCTCAATTATTTATATATGTTAAATAGAGGATCTCTTACTAGCTATATACAATTATGGCTAAGATATCTGTATGGTTAGCCCTACTAAGTTCTATGCTTTAAGACATTATAGTGGTAAATAATGTTCAAAACAGTATTATCTGATTTTTATTTTTAATGAAAGCGTTGTCTAAATATTTTTTTGTGTGTGCCCTATTTTAAACCTTTGACAGAGATTCACACAGAGCATGCAAGTGCAGACAGAAATGGAGCGGCTGACACTAGAACATGGCACAATGATGGGACCACCTACACAAAGTGAAAAAAATGAGGAGGCCATGAAAAAGAAGCTCACCAGCAAGGTAAGTGGTATGTAATTTAACATGATTTTCTCCTGCATCAGGGAACCGTATCCTTACGTGATATGTGCCTCTTGCAGTATCTAGCAGAGCATGTGGATGCCTTTCAGTCTTCATCTGGCTTTGAGTCTACGATCAACAATTTTGACAGTAACTTCTCAACCCACCTCCTTGACCTGCTGGACAAACTGAGCATGTACAGCACCAACGATTGTGAGCACAGCATGATTAACATCATATACAGGTAAGACCAACATGATTGACCGTGTATACCGGTGAGACCAGCACGCTTACAAATTCTATGCAGTGCATGCTGGCTCAGTTTTCCTAATCCCATGATCTAAGCATGCTTAGCAGTTTGTGCAGGTCATACATAGGTTAATCCAATATAAAAAAAAGTATAATTTAAAAAAAAAAAATATATATATATATATATATATATATATATATATATTTGTGGTCAGGGCAATATTGCCGTGGTGGTAGCATAACACATGATTCATATGCAACAGAACATAGATAATAACACCAGTTGGTTGTGGTGTACCGGAACCGACAATGCAGTAGGCCTGTAATAAAGAAGGCAAAAAGAAGTGTATCATCCAAAATTGTATTCATACTACAAACATCAATTATTTGGGCAAATCACAAAATGCCTGTCGTAACTCATTAACTGGTTTGGTATGTATAAGGTGAAAGCAGAAGATTTCCAGCGTCCCATTGTTTTGATTATATGAGCTGGAATTTGGTTGGAGGAAGCAGATGATGCTGCCGCTATACGGAAAGAATGTCCTGAGTAAAGACTTGCGTTCAAGCCTAGTCTTGTCAATAGTACGTGTACATAAAGCATAAATTTTGTGGTGGTAAGAGTGGAACCATGTGTAGCGGAGAGGCAGTATAATCCACAATATCTCCGCTGGGTAACAGGAACAACAAAGGATAATCCAGGGGAATCAGCATGCAATAATCCAAGTAGCACTGTAGTAATCTTTCCTTCCCAAGAACTAGACGACACATAGGCTGGAAGTCAACTGAGGTCTTTATTCACAGCTCCACAATTTATACAAGTCCCCATGCAAGGGGTTTCCTGAGTCCTATTGCAGGGGCATTCCCAGAGTGGACTACATGGGGAACTTAATGTACAGAGCTTTCCTCCCATCAGGCACTGCTGCACGAGAGGGATACTCCCACTGGAATGTACTGTTAAGTGGATTATCCCTCCGTGCAGCAGAACCGAAAATTCACATTAAAATCCATAACTTTTCACATACTTGACAGATTTAAACGAATGGACGTTCGGTAGATAGCTGGGGTCTGAGCACACCGTTCGTGTGAATACCGCTCAGATCCCAGCTAAAACAACCGAACGCCGTACGAAAAACACATTATTCACAACACAAGTTAAAAATACCGATTGACATAGATGAATAAAGCTACCGAACGTCCCGGGACTCCCGAACGCTCTGGAAGCCCAGCAGTGTTCGCGCCGTCGAGTAGCCGTTTTCAGTTCCATGCGCTCGACGACCAAACACCGCTGGGGGAACAAAGGATCCAAGATGGCCGACCGCCACATGGTCGGTAGTCGAACGGCGGCCACCTAGGAGAGCATCTAATTACCGATTGCAACATTGTTGCAATCGGTTAACAAGCGCCACACGTCTCTTAGTGTGTGGGCTATTGGCAGTTCATTCGGTTCACGAACGGCTCGCAAAAGTGCCGTTCGTGAAACGAAATAGAAACTGACTATCTGCGTTCGGCAGATCCAATACAAGTAATATAGCAGGCAGGATACAGCAGATGCAAACAGTTACATACACAAAATATACCGGCAACCCTTAAAGGCATATTGTCCCTGTTTAGTCCAAGTGGCTAGGTTTGCCACACCATGTAGTTCTAATAGTGATTGATGTGGAAGTTTGTGAAAGGTGTTGAAATATGTGTCCAAAAATGTAACCGGGCATCATTTATTAGAGGTAGGGAAAAGGGGTATGTCAATCATGAGACCTATTTGGCTGGTTTTGGAATGGTGAAGGGAAAGAATGTTGGTCTATAGATTTGTGGATATCTGCCATTTTAAGGTGGTCTGTGGTTGTGACATTGATGGAGGTAAATTCCCTTGGACGTAAGAATCCATAAAAAGCAAGATATATGGCTGTTTTAAGCACCATATTGGTAGTATGTTTGAACGGAGCCGTATCTAACAGGTAAGATAATGACTGGAATATGTTGTTGTGAATGGGTAGTCTTATAGGTGTGTGTCTGACTTTTGGATTCCCTTCAGCAGTGTTTTGATCTGGTATGCCAAAAGGAGTCCTGTTTTGTTTGGGTGTTGTATTAACATGTGGTGTTGAATGCCCGTTAAATACAGTTTGATAGTGTTGAAAGATAACTTTAAATTAATGTGGCATAAAGAAGTGAATCCCAACATATTCTCCAAAGCAAAAGTGTCCTGTATGTGAAATTCCACCAAGAAGAGGTGAGAAAAGTGTGCCACATACATAAATTGGCTGGTTCGTGAGTCGCCTGAGGGGAGGTTCGGGAATAAAGAAAGTAACCGTAAGATAAAAGATCTACCTTGGGGAATGATCCTCGTTGCAAAATTGAGCGACCCCAGCAGAGATTGAAGTTCCTTTCAGTTACAAGAACCTAGCTGTAAGTATAATTCAATGCTCGCTAGGGTGCGCCCAATCTTATCCTGGGGAAGACTTGCCGAGTTGAAGTTTTTTGGTGGGTTTTTTTTAGGGGAGACCGGTATACCCAGAGACTCAAAAAGAGTCAACATTTGTGTCAGGCAGGCAGGGGGAAGTGAGTTGTTTTGTATAGTGAGAAAATCGTCCAAATAGTGAACTACAGTCGGTCATCTGCAGACATTAAGTAGTAACCAACACAAGGTTTCAGGGAAAAAATATCAAATATTTTGGGGATGCTTTTAGAGCCGAAGGTGAGCTGGGAGAAGAAATAATATAGCCCTCGCCACTTAATGCCGTGCAGATGCCAAAGTGAAGGGTGAATGGAATGGAATTTGAAAGCATTGACAATGTCCCAGCAGCCAAAATGGCCCAGATGGCATTGTCAGTTGTGGAATATTGCAATAATAATTCGTCAGAGCATATGAGGGAATTTAGACTGGGGACTGTTGAGGAATGTGGTGACGATAAGTCGATGATTAGTCTGTGTTTGTGATGTCTTATCCGTGACGATCCCAATGGGGTTGGTTCTCCATGAACATAAAGGAGGGGAATTGAAAGGCCCTAGCACAAATCCCTCTCCTAATTCAATGTTGATAAGATCATCTACCAACTCTGGGTCTGCTATCGCTGTCTGCAAATTATTGCAGTTGAGCATACCAGACAGTAAGTGGATAATGCCCGTATGAAACCCTGTAGACAACTCTTAGGTGAGAAATCTAACCAAGTGTTGTGAGGGGTGGTGGTGTAGTAAAATAGCAAATAATGTGACATTGATGCAAGTGATGTAAGGTGTAGGGAATAGTTAATTAGGGCACATGGTTTTTGTATGTGCCCGAAAACAGAAGGCATAGACGTCTAGCTGTCTACAGGAACTAAACCCACAAGGTCCTGCATTAAAATTATTACAAATCTGGGATTTGCCCAGAAAAACAATATCTCTACCCAGTTTATCCTTAAAACCTTTAGTTGGCCTTGCGCAGTTAGGGACTGAGTGGCCATGTTCCACTTCAGCCGAATTAGGGCATAGATTGGTGGAGTGTGACGTGGATGCACAAATCGCACAAACCAGGGACCTGAGGCCTGCAAAATAGCTCAGTATCTAATCTGCTCCAGTTGATACTGTAGTTAAACTGTGCCAGGGCTGCGGCCACCTTTGCAGAGAAGGAACCGTGGTAGTCATAGAAGGCTGAACCACCGTATTTATGCCCCAGATCCACAAGCTTGTGCAAGTATACATCCAATTCTTCCCTTTTTTCTGGATAAACTGAGCAGTACACATCCCTGTATTCGCCAAAACCTAAAACAAATTCGGGTATGGACAATTTTTTATTTAACCTAGGATCTCTAGCCCTCAGTACCACTGATATGTCCCCCATATCCTGTTCTCAAGGACATCTTATGAGGCTATTAGGAGCGAGACTAGGTTAACATCCTTGCCCTCCAGGATATCTTTCTTGAGATTGGCCAGGACCATATGCACTGGGTTTATATTCTCTGGAATTTGAGATGGGACAAGAGACTTACCCGGAGTGGCAGGTGAGCATAGCATGAACATCTGGTAACTGGGATCCGCTAGGCCCCTCCTGCTCCCGCTCCCCTAAGTTGTCGATGTTTGTATTAAGAAGTCTGAAGAGCTCTGCTTTCCTGGCAGTAGCCAGGCATGGAATACATAGTTTACGGAGTTCAGCAGTCAGACGAGGGATCGTCCATGACCTTATAGAAGTTGGACTAGCCGTATCAGCACCATGGGCAGGGGTATCGGACCTAGCTGGGGAGCAAGGAAGGGATAGTTCTTCTGGTGTATCAGGAACTAGAGACATCCTGAAAAAAAAAAAAAAATATATATATATATATATATATATATATATATATATATATACATATATATATTACCATCAGTAATAAGTCATAATCAGGGACTGGCTGGCTAGCTAATGCCAAGCGGCGAAAAAGTAACTAAAAGAAACGTGACAGGTGAGTCCGTGCTAAGTCTTTACAACAGGACTAAAGTATATGCTTAAGTGCATGTATTCGAAAGTGCCGAACACATATTCAATACGAAAAGGTAAGGGAGGGAGAGGGAAAACAGAGACCCACCCTTTGATGACGCTACACAAGTGCGACCGTACGGCAACGGTGTGTGTCTGACGTACGGTAGAAACGAGCAGTTCTGAGCACAGGCACCGAGCCAGCTGGAGGGGCAGCGGTACTGTAACGTTTGGCAAGTGATCAGATATGCAGAATGTAAATAGAACAGGAGCAAGAAATCAGGACACGAGGAAACTGCAGGAGATGGCAAAATGGCGACCAGAAGTAGTCACACAACTCGCCAGACCATCAATGGTAAAATGGGAGAGGTTTGGCAGCCCTTATAAAGGGGACCAAAGCCCCTCCCACAACTACAGACCCAGCCTTAAATCTATATATATATATATATTCATAATCTGGTAGTTTTATGCAGTTTTAGTCTGATCAGATCTGAGTTTGTTAGTGTTCTGTACTGTGAGAATAAAGGGTTACTCCAATTCTTACTTTAACTTTATTTTATATAATGCTTTATTAGGCACTATATAATGATTATACCAGCTTGACATAGTGTTAAAAACTAAATTATGTTGTATAATATCTAAACTGCGCTTCCAATAAAAGAAAACTCCACATTATGTGCAAATACAATTTGCTAGATCAACACATAAATGTATATATGATAAATGCAATACCAAAAAACTTTATCCTGTTAATAAAATCACTGTGGAGACATCTAAAATACAAGCAGAGTGATTTTTGTTTTATTATATATATATATATTTCCGTAAAACTATACAGTGAATATTCCTCGCAATCAATTGGCTTAGTAAAAGTTCAATAATTACTGATTAGGCACTAGTAGCTTGGTCCACCTCACTTTTTTTAATTCTAAAAACTTCAAAAATAAGAATGAACTTACCAGTAAGCCAGTGCCAGGAGAACTTATTCCATGCCAAGGCAATCGTCATGCAGTGTCACTTCTTGTTCCTTATTGCATGTTTTTAATCAAGAAGCATTTAATTGGACTGATCACCAGGCTCAGAGTGTATGTGTACGTTCTGAGGAAGGGATGGAATGTGCGGTGGATAAGATAGGTGAACAAAAGGTGGGAATTAAAAGAAAAAAGAACTAATTCAGAATGTAGGTAAGTGGGGAGTTCTGGGCGAGCGCGCAGATGGAGGGGACTTACAAGTTTCTCCTTGCAGGCGCGCTCACAGCGCTGCTTTCAAGGGTAGTTGCATCTAGCCAAAAGTGCAGATTCAAGCAGACCTTATGCACATACAGATTTATTGCTCCATGACCACTTCTAAAAGAAGAAGTGGTCATGGAGGCAGAAGTAACCCTATACAATTGAAAGGCCACACACAGTAAAGTGTACTGTATAGTAGATCCTGAAAATATAAGGAGCAATAGGTATAAAAGATAAGAAAAAATGTAATGGTGTGTTCCTGAGGTCTTAGCTGTATATGCATTTTATTGAATGTAAGTGAATGGTAATTATGTCCATATGTACTATGCTTATTGACTGGTAAATGATGAATGCATACAGCCAATGTCCAGTGTTGTGCTCCTGGCAGCACTCCTTTGGATAACTATTTTTTTAATATTTTTCACAGGTTGGATTTTAATGGATTCTACACAGAAAGTTTGAAGCAACTGTCTGCAGAGAGAAACCAGAAGGTGACCCCCCAGGCAGCACTTTTACGACCGCCCGTAGCCACACAGTGAACTTGTACATCAGCCAAGGAATAATTCCCTCCATAAGCTATCCTATACTTTCTCACTAAAAAGCACCCCCATCCTTGTGCTTCTTTTTTTGTTCATTTGAGATCTATTTACCGATTATCGTAGGGTTTTGGAAACCGAAATTTATGCAAGCCCTGAATGATACTAGTTTCTGCTAACTGGAAGCTGTACAGTGAGGGTCTTTATTTTGTCTGATTTCCAAAATGATTTGTTTAGAACACTTCGAGCTTATCCACTTCAAATATAGCGCCTTTTTGGGGGAAGCTAAAAAAAAAAAATACAATTTAACTCTGAGAAAACAGATCAAGCCGTTATCAAATGGATTTCTGTTACCCACCACTTTTTTTCTCTTTATGATCATTGATGTAACTCATTTGTTCAGTCCACAATTATATTGTTTGTCTTGTGGAATACATTTGGCTACATTTCTCGTGCTTCACGAAACCTATCTAGGACTGTATATGTGATTTTAAAAGATTTTCATTTTTTTGCACATCCTCAACAAAGAGATTTATAACTCGGAAATAAGAAAACTGTCTGCCATTTCCTCTGAAAGGATTTAATGTTTTTTTACTGCCTAATTATTTGCCTACAAAGCTCGTGTGACTAAACAACACAATAAAACAGATATTACAGTACTAATATTTGAGTGCCATTATTCTTGTTTTTCATTTGTGCTTTTTTTATAATTCACACAAATGCTTCCTTCCTTCCTTCCATCCATCCATATTAGGTAATTGCATGAGAGGTTGATGGATACAAAAAACAAAAACACTTAAAATATACATTTTCTCCAGTCAGCTTTCAGAGAGCTACAGTGAAGTAGGAAATTTCCCAAGATTGCACATAATTCCATATGTAGACTCGTGTGCTAATATTTGTTGCACATAGCTTGAGAAGGGGGGAGAGTCTCCGAATAATATGAGGTCATATATACAAAGTCATCTGTCATATATACAAAGTCAGAACTCTAATGCCGAAAGTTATCTAAAGAGTGCATGTATGTCAAGGGTTTTGGGTTTCTTTATGTTTAAGTCTTCTATAATGAATGGATGCTGTCATTACCCCCAGTACTCTATCCATCCAATGCTGAACCAAGAGGGCTGAGGCAAACCTCCACAGGACACAGGTGAGAGCCTTGACAGCAGTAAGAAAAGGTTTAGTCAACGATTTCTTATATGTAGAGAGGTACAATGTAAGAGCATGTCTTATGACCTCCTAGAATATTTTCATTTTAACATGAGCTTTTCTCCAGTACTCCACAGTAAAATTAAACCACTGACTGATCCTGCCATGACCCTATTTCTTCTTCCACTTGCTACAGCCCCACCACATCACTTTTTGCCTCCTGGACCATACCCCAGAGAACTGTCATATTATTTATAGAAAAACTTTAAATAGTAAAATTATTCAATAGATCTAACTGCACAATTTAGTAGATATATAACTTAATACTATGAAATAACTGTATAAATTCACTCCAACTCTAAAACCTATAAAGTTCACCAATATAGTAAAAAAAAAAAACATATAAAATTAGAAAAATGCTCTTGCATTGTATGCATACTGGATGTCCATAAGATAGTTCAAATGTTGTGCAGCACTACAACATGAAAGTTGCCATTCCAATATTGTGCCAACGCTGTAACAAGCAGTTTTTTTAATAGTAGAAATCTCAGTGGATATTTGAAGAGGCTGGTTCACATCTCTGCGCTTTTGTGGATCTCCCTATTTTCTGACGCACAGACTGATTCAGACCACAGGCAAGAGTCGGTAACCTGCAAAGACAAATGTTGTGGGAGCTGAAGGAACTCAAGAAGGGTATTGGACCTACTCAACAGCACCGTGGCAAGAATGGCCTGGAGGTTCTGGTAAACTGGTTCTCACCACCATTTGCTGCCTCTTCTACAAGGTGTAGGTCAGGGGTGTCCAAACGTTTTTTCAAAGAGGGCCAGATTTGATGAAGTGAACATGTGTAAGGGCCGACCATTTTGCCTGACTCTTTGAACCATTCAAATTAAATGCAAATTAACTATTTTATGCAATGTTTATTGCAAATGGCATACTTTTAATTTCATCACATGGATGACAAATCTAAACAGGTGTTAAATCACTCTGCCTTTCATATCTGAAGGCCAGATGAAAAAAAAAAAAACAGGAAGCTGATATATGTCAGGAACATTGTAAAGTACATTACATATTAAGGTCCCCCACCCTTATTAGTATTTAGGGCCCCCACCCACCGCTCAGGGGTGGGGTCCAGGGGGGAGGACATTAGGTCTATCCCCCCTTATTCTGATTTAGGGCCCCCACTCACCATTCAGGGGGGAGGACATTAGTTCCCCCCCTTATTAGTATTTAGGGCCCCCACCCGCCGCTCAGGGGGGAGGACATTAGGTCTCCCCCTTATTCTAATTTAGGGCCCCCATCCACCGTTCAGGGGTGGGGGGCCAGAGGGGAGGACATTAGGTCCCCCCCTTTATTAGTATTTAAGGCCCCCACCCATCGCTCAGGGAGAAGGACATTAGGTCCCCCCTTAGTATTTAGGGCCCCCACCCACCGCTCAGGGGTGGGGGCGGGGGGGGAGGACAATAGGTCCGACCTCTTATTTTGATTTAGAGCCCCCACCCGCCGCTCAGGGGAGGGAGCTGGGGGGAGGACAATAGGTCCCCCCCCTTATTCTGATTTAGAGCCCCCACCTGCCACTCAGGGGAGGGGGTCGGGGGGGGAGGACAATAGGTCCCCCCCATTATTTTACCTTAGGGCCCCTACCCACCGCTCAGGGGTGGGGGCCGGGGCGGAGGACGACAATAGGTCCTCCCCTTATTCTACTTTAGGGCCCCAACCCACCGCTCTTGGGAGGGGGGGGGACTTTTTTTTTTGTTTGTTTGTTTTTAAAAGTGAGCAGCCACAGGCTGCTCACTGTTTACTAGACATGCCAGCCACTACTCGCGGTATAGCGAGTAGGGGCATAATTTACTAATACTAAGTAACCTTTACTTAGTATTAGTAAATGTGGCTGAAAGACAAATTTAGGTCTTTCAGCCTTTTAGTAGATAGCTCCCTAATACCCTGGGAATTAGGGAGTAATCTACTTATTCATTCCTGTCATTACATTTACTGGCTAAGTAACTTACATTTTATATGAATGTGTGTTACTTGAGTGTTGCAAATGCTTACAGCTGAATCCTGGCTATGTTTATATACTTTTTATTTAAAATTGTATACAGTGTAACATTCTTCATTCTTCCACTGGGTAAGTATATTAGTACTTAGGCAGTACTGTACTTCGGAACTTCGGCAATTCATCTATTCGGACATTCGGAAGTACCTGAATGAACCAAATTGCCCGAAAATTCATCCGAATTCACATTCGGACCGAAGCGAATTGCATGTGTCTATTCACCGCTGCATCTTTCCCCTGGAGACTCGTGTTCAGTACATTCAGATGTTTTGTTATGTCAACTAAAACCCCAAATCAGCCAGCCAAAAAGGATCAGATAGTTCTCGCATTGGTTGTCCCTTTGTTTCCAAGAATTCTCCGATTTCCTTTCTGAGAGAATATAAACGCTACAGTGCAGACCCTCGACTGAGTCATCTCACATCGTTGTGATATAAAACATCTTCGCATTCAGCCTGGATGTCCAGTAGAAACAGTTTAAACTGTCGGTGGCACAGGGCTTTATAGCGAATACAATTAATAGTCTTCAGCACCGGTTTCGTAACATGATCGTATTTGAGATGTTTACCACAGAGAACTTGTTGATGAATGATACAATGGAGTTTAACAGCTTTGCCTCTTTCTTCGATCACCTTGTTACAGATTAAGGTTGATAATCCACTTTGTTCGCCAGCCATGACAGGTGCCCCATCAGTAATAATCCCAGTAACTTTGTTCCAAGGCATTTTCATGTCATCTATGGTGGAACTAACAGAAACAAATAAATATTTTCCTCTTGTTTGGTCCCTAAGACTCTGGAGGTCAAGTAACTCTTCAGTCACATTCATTTCATCGTCCACCCCTCTCATAAAAATCAGCAACTGAGCTGTGTCAGATAGATCTGTGTTTTCATCACGGGCTATTGAAAATAAGTCAAAATCCACTCTTTTGGACGTCAACTGTCTCTTAATATGTCATGAAATATCTTTCTCCGTGCTACAGCGTTACGAGCTAGGCAAATGTTGGCAAACTCTTGCTTGTTCTCGGCACAGATATTCTCAACCATTTTCATAACGCATTCTTTGATAAATTCATCCTCCGCAAAAGATTTGCTATTTTTAGCAATTAACATTGCCACCTCATAGTTACATAGCTGAGAAGAGACTTGCGTCCATCAAGTTCAGGCTTCCTCACATATGTTGTTGCTGTTGATCCAAAAGAAGTCAAAAAACCTAGTCTGAAGCGCTTCCAATTTTGCCACAAACTAGGAAAAAAATCCTTCTTGACCCCAAAATAGCAGTCAGATGTCTCCTTGGATCAAGCAGCTATTACCACACTAATTAGAAATTATATCCCTGTATGTTATGTTTTTGTAAGTATTTATCCAATTGCAGTTTAAACATCTGTAGTGACTCTGACAAAACCACCTCTTCAGGCAGAGGATTCCATATCCTTATTGCTCTTACTGTAAAAAAAAAACCTTTTCTTTGCCTTAGATAAAATCTCCTTTCTTCCAGCCTAAATGTGTGACCTCGTGTCCTATGTATAGCCCTGTTTATGAATAGATTTCCAGATAAAGGTTTGTACTGGCCCCGAATATATTTGTATAAAGTTATCATTTCCCGTCTCAGGCGCCGTTTTTCCAAACTAAACAGATTTAATTTTTTTAGCCTTTCTTCATAACTAAAATGCTCCATTCCTTTTATCAATTTTGTAGCTCGTGTCTGGACTTTTTCTAGTGCCATGATATCTTTCTTTAGAACAGGCGCCCAAAATTGCACAGCATATTCAAGGTGTGGTCTTACCAGCGATTTATAAAGAGGCAAAATTATATTTTCATCCCGAGAATTTATGCCCCTATTTATACATGACAAAACTTTACTGGCCTTAGCAACTGTAGATTGACATTGCATATTGCTGCCTAATTCACTACCATTTAGTGTGTAAGTTGCTTGTGCATTCTTAACCCCAAAGTGCATAACATTGCATTTCTCTACGTTGAATGTCATCTGCCATTTTAGTGCCCAGTCCCCCAATCTATCCAAAACCCTCTGCAAAGCTCGCCCTTGTGACATTTTCATTTGACTCACAGGCCTTTGTGAAAAATCACTTTTGTGACATTAAAACAGCTTCAAGTTGCTTACACTTTTCACTGCGGTCGTGCCCTGTTAGCTTGTCGTATGTGCTATGTCTTGACTGGTAGTGTCTCTTGACATTAAATTCCTTATAAACAGCCACAGTCTCTTGGCATATCAGACAAACATAGTGATTCCGTATTTCAGTGAAGAAATATTCCACTTTCCACTTGTCCTGGAAGCGGCGGCCCTCACTGTCAACTTTCCTTCTCTTATTCACAGTCACCATTTTAGAAATTGTCCAGAAGGGAAAGGGATCATGTGAGCGCAGTGCCAGAGGTTTTGATTTAAGTGTGTTCGCACAAACACTAATACACTGCCCAACAAGAATTTGCCAGAGATCTCTTCTCTCTTTATTCTATCTCAGATCTTTTTATTCTTTCTCAGATCTCTTTATTCTGTCACTATACAAATCTCTTTATTCTGTCTCAGATATCTTTATTCTGTCTCAAATCTCTTTATTCTGTCTCAAATCTCTTTATTCTGTCCCTTCTCTTTATTATGTCCCTTCTCTCTTTATTATGTCCCTTCTCTCTTTAATCTGCCCCCTTCTCTCTTTATTATGTCCCTTCTTTATTATGTCCCTTCTCTCTTTATTCTGTCTCTTCTCTCTTTATTCTGTCCCTTCTCTCTTTATTCTGTCTCTTCTCTCTTTATTCTGTCGAAGAGATCCCGCAACATCCAAGAGATCGTGAGAACGCAGACTGAGGACATGCAGTCCCACGGCGTTCAAAGATCCAGAGAATCTCTGGATCTTTGAATGCCGCAGGACTGCACGTCCTCAGTGGCACTCAGGGATTCACTGGGGGCCACAACATATAGATTTAACAAATTACCTGTGGGGCTGTATTAAACTGGAACTCGGGCCGCAATTGGACATGACTGTTGTAGGTGTCTTTGGAACATCCCTGCCCAAAAGCCGTTCTAGATCTCTAGAAGGGGATTTTTTTTTCTAGTATTTTTGGTTATTCTTCTTTTGAGTGTTTTTTTTCTTTCTCTTCTTTTACTATTTATTATGTGATTTCCACCCCACCCATTTTGAAGAAATAAATTTATTTCCAAATGAAAAATATTAATATTTTTTTATTATTATGATACCTCTTATTAGGCATATTTAGATGTTCAATGGTATATTTGTAGAGGTCATGACAAATGTGAACAAATTGTGAAAATGGTTGTGTAGCGGAATGGATACACTAACTACACTTTTATTCCCTTTAGTTTAGCTGTCCATACACCACCGTTCGTTTACTGAACCAACTTTGTGTGATCCACTGTTAACACCTCACGATCATACACGCTCCGAGAACTGGCAGCCATTTTGTCTCCTGAATGCAGGCAGCGGTACATGGTCAACGACGGCCTGGAACTATTTTCGGATACGCGACCCTTCTAACACCCAGGAAACTAGTACCGCCGCCCATCCAACTTCCCGAACCGTTTAGATAACAGCATTTGGGAGGCATTAACTACCGAACAGGGAGAGCATTCACTCCCTAACAGTCAGGGGGAGCATTCGTCTGTGTTCGTGTGAGAACCCCTGAAGGATGACCGGTCGTGGCCTTGTTTTCCATGGAACTGTTTTGGGGCATCACCTCGTTACCAACCGGTCAAAACTTCATTCGAATGGCGTTCCTGAACCACAAAAGGGATCTGCGCACTATTTCAATAAAGTGGGCACTCAGACCCAAGCTATTCGGTGATATGACTTTTGTGGGGTTCCTATGTTATTAAAATGTACTTTTATGATGTTTTTTAGTATTGTATATGTTTTCTGTATCCGAGAGATAATTGAGTTATAGTTTTCTCACGCAATTATCTCTCAGAAACAGAGACTCTTGGGAGGAAAACCTTTGTGATTTTGATGTGGAGACCCCATACTAGGGGTCAGTGCATAAAAGCCATGTGTGACCAAAATAAACTCAGTTGACTCTCAGAACGATGTGTCATCTAGTTGCTGGGGGGGCGAAGTTTCTTGGATTATTATACTGCTTCTTTCAGATTCCAGGAAGGAATAGCGGAGATACCTGTGCTTGGTACTGGAGCTCCGCTACAGGCTGTGTTATCTTACTGAAGGTGATTTTGCTGTAAAATCACTAGTGTTATTATGAACTTATAATTTTTATTGTGAAATCTAAAATGTATTGGCCTATGCTTCCTAATCAGTGTGAGAGATGGCAATTTCCTTATATTCAACTAGTGTATCTTACAGTCAGAATACATTTATATTAAATGTCATATTAGCAATGGTTTACGGTGATGTATGATCTTTATATATTGTATGATTTAATGCTATAGTCAATATGATCAGTGGTTATTTAAGATGCTGTCTTACCTTACACTTTCTTACCTGAAGGAGTTAAGCCTTTCTAGAAGGGGTTAAACCCCAAAGGTTTCCTCCAGCACCTCTATCACTTCCCCCGGCAGCGTTCGGCTTTTTCAACTGACTTTCAAGTAGCGTGGAGTGCCACCAGGCAGTGTCACTGCCGATTGGCTATAGCGATCAGCTATTGCTCGATGCTCTAAACAAATCCATAGCTTCCTGTTCATAAAACAAAATGTACATATGTATGTGTATATTCCTTATAATGAGCAATATATGTATCATTTGCCTAACTTTTATCTTTATTTGAATTGCTGCCCATTTGGTTTACCATTTAGTATGGTTTGCAATGGTTTAATATGATTTTTTGCAATAGTTTAATATGTAATTTTATATTGCTATATACGGAATGTATATTTACCTGTAGAATGTATGGGGACTTCGCAGTTGTTAACCTGATAGTTTTGTCTTTCCACCAAGCAGAGGCAGGTTTCTTTAAAAATGTTATTTAAATTTTTTTTAGGGTTTGCGGCAGCTGTTCAACTTTAACCACATGGTTGCAAAACAAAAACATTTAATTGTTTCTATTGCTTTGGGAGTCATTAGCAGTAACTTTATCCAATAATTCCTCATCACTAATGGTAAGATGTTACGGTTGGAAAACAGCATCTATGTGCCAAGGTTAGTGTCTGCTTGTAGTATTCGCCCGCTAACATTTAGCAACAAGATTGGAAATGAGCCCCGAGTAAAATATAGTTTTAAACAAAAGATCATTTTAAAAACGGTTAGGCATTTATTTTGTTACAGCTGTTCAGAATGATAGTGCCAGGCTGGACTTGCAAAATAAAGGTCAGCTAATGGGAATAGAAATTAATACAAGACCAGGATGTGAACAGGATCTGATAAGTAGAACTAAAAAAAATGAAGCTAGGCAGGATAATTGTGGCTGAAATGTATTTTAGCTGAATATAGTACCCTGATAGGTTGAATTGTGAAGTCAACATTCTGTAAGAAGTTTAAAGGACCATAACTCTACACTAATAGTACAGTACAGTATCTAGGGTCTGGGTGCTGCTACACACTCATCTCTGCTATTAGGAGAGCTTCTGTTAGCTCTTCTAAGCTAAGTCCAGCAGTGCAGGGCTAGGTTATTGGCTGAGAGTGTCAGTTGATTGCACTCAACCAATGAGGTAAGCTCTGTTTTTCTCCATGAAGCTCAATTAAGAGAGCTTCTGGCAGAGAAGTGTGGAGCAGAACCTGGCGGACCTCAGGTAAGTAGGTCAAAAGTTACTAATTGGCTTTATTCCTTACTCTAGGGGATGCCATGGTACTCCTAGCACAATAACCAATACAGCTCACTTTAGTGATTATGATTCTTGGAGTGTTTCTTTAACACTCAAAAACCAAGGGGAGGTAAGTACAGTCAAATACATATACAGTATATTTTGGAATATAGGACACAGTTTCTTTTTTTTTCTACACAAAATTTGGGCTAAAAAACTGACTGCATCTTATATGCCGAATGCTATAGATACTCTATATATACAGCAGAAGGGTAGAATCGGTGGGAAGATCAAAGATCTCCATCACCGTGCCATTGCAGATTTGTAAAGGAGAGTGACCCCAGGAGATTTTCTGCTCATCCGCCAGGTCCCCTCTTTCTCGTGAGTGCCCCCTTACCAGAATGTTGCCACAGGTTACCACACTGCCTAATGCTGCAAAATTCTGGGGCTCTTGAGAAGAGTCTGTACCCAGCAGAGGTGCAGGCAGGAGTACTTCCTATACCGCCAGCAGTTATTATAGAATATGCCATTGCCAGAGCAGTTGATGTTCCAAATACAATACTGTATTTAGATTTGTCTCCGGAGATACTGTGATGGTATCATCCTTTCATACCTGCCAGCACCACGGACCATGCCACCTGGGTACATTGTGACCCTCCTCCACAGCCAGTGGTAAAAGGTAGGGATGGAAGAAAAACCCAAAGTAAAGCTGATAAAATAAATATATATAACTGCTCTTCTCTAACCCCCACCACAGAACACAGTCCCTATTCCACCCCACAAATGCACATACAAGCACTGAATTCCCTACACACATATACACTACAATCCATAAACACAGTGTGAAAACAAAGTGTGAATTATAAGTGACAGTAAGATGTAACTTTAGTTTCATTGTTTTATTTTTTTTATAAGCCTTTGCTATTTCCTGAGGGAGTATTCACTGGACTAACCTTCATACTGCATTTTATTTATTTATTTTCCGTATTGCAGGAATAGCTGAATCTCACTAGAGGGCAGTATTTATATACAATATAGAACTCTGCACCACTAAACAGCTGTCTCTCTGGTTTGCCCTTTTAGCTGCCAGGTCAGGATGTGCAATGATACACAGGGTGTTGGCACATTCAGGCCGTGTATGTATCAGCAGAGGAAATGAACATGCTGGTTTCCTTTGTTTAATGGGGTCTCAAATCCCATAAATCCCAAAATGAACATGCAGGGTAATCTCAGAAACTTTGTATAAACCATACGTATCCATATTGCTGAGAATGATGTAGACAGCTGCTGTTTGTCATTAATCACTAATGGCCAACATTTGCTATTAAATTAATGCTGGATTATTGTTGGATACATGTTTTTTTTTTTGTTTGTTTTTTTTTTAAATCTGTCTATAGCATTAAAGCATATGAACGACTAGATGCATATCCATAGATGAGTAGTGTGTTACGTAAAAAGAAAAACATTTGACGATCCCTCTTAAAACAGGATTTGAAGTATGCTAGCAACAATCTAAAACAAATGTTTTGCTCCCCACTGGTACGGACAGGTCTATAAACAAAAGTATAGAAACAATAGTCAAAATTCCCCACTTTATATTGCTTTATGGAAAAAAAAATGTTTAAATAAAGATATTTGCTTTCAAAGTTCCTGATGCTTTTTTCTTTTTTGTTCTCCTCTGTCCATAATGTCTGCAGTTTGCCCTTCTGTGGGATTCTTTTGAGTGATGGATTAATAAAAAATTAAATAAAAGCCAATACACAATGTCTACGTCCAGGTTGGCCCGGGCTTTTGTCTTGGAAACTCAGAGGCCTGTACTACTCACCCCTCCCCCCAGGCCGGCGGGGATTATCTCGGCCCCCACTACCTACTCACCTTTCTGCTTATGAGGGAATCCCGCACGGCTTAACTAAAATGGCCGACGGCAACGCTCCCATGAAGCATGATGTGGAAGCTTGGATGCAGAGCTGGATGGAAGGCTTCCTCAGCGCATTTGATGCCATCTGCCGGAGGTTTTGGTGGAATCTGAGGAAAAGCAGAAGGCAACTCACACAGTCAGATGACCCTGCGGTTCAACCTGAAAACAGAGTTCCTGCTCGGAAACTCCCCTCTGGAAGGAGACCAAAGCGTATTCGACTGCCAGCTTGTACGCAACGCACCCGAGAATAATATGGCTCCCAACAGTGTCAGGGACTTTGCCAAGTTGTGAATCAAGAAGTTTGTGGGCTCAGGTGCTTGAGTGCCATGGCAAAGCATGGAACCCAAGGAGGCTCCTGTCATTTATTATATCTGCCTGGACTTGGTATGCCACCGGAATCGGATAAATATACAGGCTATCTCGCTACACCTGTCGAGTTTCAAACCCTTGCATGCCTTATTTTCTATACCTTAACCCTCAGTGAGCTCAGTGTTAAAGCTATTGGTGGTTTCACCTTTTACTGCATTTCTCCTGTGTGGTGTCAGGATTTCTGTAGATGCCCAACACGCAGAACTTAAGTAGATATAAAGCAAATACCGAAGACGTATTACCGGACCTTAGAATGGCCGGATTTAACATAAAAAGGCAAAAGACAAAAAGAAAGGGAAAAGCCAAGACAAAGATATAACGCAAACGATAAACAAGCCAAAGGTCAAGGATTGGAGATATCAGAATAGTCCGGAGCCAAGCCAAAAGTCAAGGAATACAGAGATTGGATAGTCAGATACTCAAGTAATTAATACAAGGAACGCGCTCTGGAAACCACCAACCAACTGGAAACCATGACAGGACACAGAGAAATGGACACACTAGGTTTAAATAGCTAAAGGTGTTTCCTGATAGGCTGTAGGGAAACATGTCATCAAGCTTATGTGTGTAACACACCCAAATTAAATTAATTGATATGGCCCTTTAGGGGTTAAATAGGAAACCCTTTATTCACAGCAGCGGATTGCGCCCTTAATGATACAGCTGGCTGCTGAGATAGGAGAGATTACCTCTGGTGAGTGTTTGGCAGTATTCCCCTTAGTTTGTGGGAATACCGCTGTAGCAATACATGACAATTATCTCGCCTGTTTTATCCTAACCTGACCAGCACTAGTTTTTTTCTTTTCTTGTTTTTTCTATTTACATAAAAAGGTGCAGCTTATATTGAAATGTCATACTGGTCACTCACATGTATACACTGGTTATGTCTACACTATATGTCATTGTACCTCTCTGCTTGACCCGTTTCAGTCTGGATTCTACGCTCGTCACTCTGTTGAAACAGCTGTGACTAAAGAATCCAATGATTTAATCGCTGCCAAATCTCGCGGCCATTACTCTATCCTAATTCTCCTTGACCCTTCTGCTGCCTTTGACACTGTTGATCATCAACAGCTTCTTCTCATTCTCCATAATCTCGGTCTACAGGATACTGCTCTATCCTGGTGCTCCTCCTACCTTTTCCAATGCATTTTCAGTGTTTCTTTCTATGGCTCTGCCTCTACTCCCCAATCCCTCTCTGTTGGCGTTCCCCAAGGTTCTGTCCTTGGTCCCTTACTGTTCTCTATCTATACTGTCTCACTTGGTAAACTCATCAGCTCCTTTGGCTTCCATTATCATTTATATGCAGATGACACACAAATCTACCTGTCCTCTCCTGATCTTTCTCTGCCCATTTGGCTTGTGTCGCTGACTTCCTCTCTGTGATTTCCAACTGGATGGCTGCTTACTTCCTTAAACTCAACCTCTCCAAAACAGAACTTCTGTTTTTTCCTGGTGTTGCTACTCCCGTGTCTGTCTCCCTCCAAGTCTACGGCACCACCATCATCTCTACCTCGCAGGCTCGCTGCCTAGGTGTTCTCTTTGACTCTGACCTCTCCTTGACCTCTCATTTCCAGTCGATTGCCAACTTCCATCTCAAAAACATAGCTCGCATCCGCCCTTATTTAACACCAGATGCAGCTATGGTGCTGGTCCATGTTGTTGTTCTTTTTCGCCTTGGCTACTGCAATCCCCTTCTCAGTGGTCTTACGTGTTCCCAGATGGCACCACTGCAATCTGTAATGAATGCAGCGGCGAGGCTCATTTTCCTGTCCGCCCGCACCTCCCATGCTTCCCCCTTCTGTCAGTCCCTACATTGGCTTCCAGTTAGATATAGGGCTCAATTTAACATTCTGGTGCTTGCTTACAAGTCCCTATATAATGCTGCTCCAACCTACCTATCCCCCCTAATGCACAAATATGTCCCATCGAGGTCCCTGCGCTCTGCCGAAGACCTACGCCTATCCTCTGTGCGTACTCCCACATCTGATGCTCGCCTCCAAGACTTCTCCAAGGCTGCACCTTTTCTGTGGAACTCCCTTCCCTGCTCTGTTAGACTGTTTCACCCAGTCTCCACTCCTTCAAAAAAATCTTTGAAAACACACTTCTTCAGGAAAGCATATAATTTAAACTGTTAGCGGGTTTTCATTCCCTCCCCCCCATGACTTCTCTCCTGCTACTGTCAAAAATAACCTACTAAGTTCTCATTGAATACTTTTCTAGCAGCCTATTTAATTATCCCTACGTATGTCCTTTGTGTCACTATATCCCACTCCCTCTAGCATGTAAGCTCATTGAGCAGGGCCCTTAACTCTTCTGTTCCTGTGCGTCCATTTGTCTGGTTACAATTACGTGTCTGTTAGTCCACCCATTGTACAGCGCTACGGAATTTGCTGGTGCTATATACATTATAAAATAATAATAATAACTATAAGTTACAAAAATTAAATAGTTCCTGAGACTCAATGCAGCTTCAGGAAGACCTCTCCCAGGCCTGAATGAAGCTTCAATAATCAGGCACCTCTCATTCTGATCTTTGGGGTCTGAATTTATCCCAGCAGTAGTTGTATAGAAGCAGTTCTACTCACTCAGATAAGTGGAATTGATTTGCACACTGATAGCACCCATGTCACAAATAACCTCATATGAAACATGGCCCAGTGCACATGCATTAGACCATTGCTCAGCTCTCTCGAGTGACGAGAAAGAACCTCACTGTTAGTGTTAGAAGTATCTGGATGCCATAAGCAAAACTTACATAAAACTGTCTCAGCAAAGGAGAAGATTTAAACTCCTCCTTTGCTTTGTCTGAGACAGGGGGCTCAACAGTTATTAACAGTGAGAATGGAAGATGGTAGTGCACTCTGCACCATAATTCATTTCAATCTTCCCATTTATGTAATACTGAAATTATATCTAAACCATTTCCATTCAGTTTTCTTGCAACTTATTGGTTTAGTGAATAAACCTAATTAGTGTGTCTTATGCTTCAGCAGTGTGAAATTCAATACATTTTTATGAAACCTACTTTTGGAGTCCTCGTTGTACATGTTGGATCTTTTGTTACATTTTGTTTCCGAATACATCAAGATTATAGCATGTTAAACACTGAAATCTGACTGTGATGTGCATTTGCTATATTTATGCAATCTCCATAATTTAAGAGTTTAGTGTTAAAGGACCACTATAGTGCCAGGAAAACATACTTGTTTTCCTGGCACTATAGTGCCTCTGAGGGTGCCCCCACCCTCAGGGTCCCCCTCCGCCCGGCTCTGGAAGGGGAAAGGGGTTAAACTTACCTTTTTCCAGCGGGGAGCCTCCTCCGATCCTCCCTCTTCTCCTCCCGTCGACCCATGTACGCGCGGGCAAGAGCTGCGTCGCATTCAGCCGGTCACATAGGAGCATTTACAATGCTTTCCATGGATTACTGGCGTTCTCACTGTGAAATCACTGTGAGAAGACGAAAGCGCCTCTAGTGGCTGTCAATGACAGCCACTAGAGGGAATAGGGGAAGGCTTAACCCATTCATAAACATAGCAGTTTCTCTGAAACTGCTATGTTTATGAAAAAATGGGTTAACCCTAGCTGGACCTGGCACCCAGACCACTTCATTAAGCTAAAGTGGTCTGGGTGCCTAGAGTGGTCCTTTAAAGGGATGGACCTGGGACCAAAACACCGTGGGCAGAGCATCTTGCTATGGTAAGGTCTCTGAAGGGACTGTGACAAAAGATGACACTGCACACAAATACACCCCTGCGTGTGTACATGTGTACACATGCAAATGCTTGCCCAGGGTCCATTCAATATTAAAGACATCCCTGACCAGGTCCAAAATCTGTGGACAAGAGACTGGCCTTCAAGCCTCTCCAAAAGGCCATGGCATAGCCACGAGTAAGTAACATACCAAAGTATTTTAGAGAGGAAGTTGCCAATTTAAAAGGATAAAAGGACAGCAGTCTTAGCAACACTGATTTTGGGATTCAGAGACTCACTTATGTAAAAGCTGACCTTAAAATTGGAAAGGGACAAGTATTTAGTTATTTTATCCAACAGTGGAGGGAGGAAGCAGTCTTTGTCTGTGATAAAAAAAATAGCAAGTGATTTGTATTTGCAGAGGTTTTGAATTGTCCAGATCCCAAGGGAAACCTTTCATACCAGTGTTATTGCAAATGTTCTGTAAAAGGGGCTCTAGGAATAGAATAAACATCAACAGGGTGAGAGGGCAGCCCTGTCGTGTGCGGTTGCCTATATGTACTAGAAAGAGCCCATTGTCCGTTGACCATAAATAAGTTAGAAAGATTGGTATAATGAGCTTGGATCCAATGCTGTCACTGGGGTCCACATATGTACGCATATAGTTAACCCTGCTGCGCTCTAAGCATGGTACATGCATACAGTGTTTACTGGGGAAAATGGAAAATGAATTGAAAATGACAGTTCCTCTTTAAGGACTTTATATTACATTGCGTGACCTTGAAATTAAACGATCAATTTGCCTGCCACATCTAAAATAGCCCCATTATTTTTATCTCTCGTTATACCTTAACACGCTTCTCTCCCACATCTGCTTTCCTCATTGAAAATGTGTTACAGGGAGAAAAAAAAAAAAAACGTGTGAAACTACAGACGTTGCCCACATGTGCAGGTGCAATACCTTGACAGGCTCATTTACATTTGCAAATGTAGCCAAAGACCAATGTCCTTCCCAACCCCCAGTAGCCATTAAGACAGCTGGACAATGTGTCAAGTGTTCAGTGTGTCTTATCTGTAACGCTCTGGGGGCAAAGCTAGGACACCATTATCCCCTGCTGTCTGCTTACTGGACATAATGTCCCTCTGTATAATGCTCTCTTTCATAGAGGTAACATGCTGATGACAGTCG